AAAGAAAAACCAAAGTATGGAACTGGACAGAACACGTGCAAGATATTTTTGATAAGTTAAAGGTTACTTCGACAAGCCGCTCGAACTACATACAAATGCGACGATCCTTGGTCTTGGTACAATTCTCTACCAACAAGATGGAGATCATAAGCGTGTGGTTGCTTATGCCAGCCTTCCATTATCCAAATCAGAAAGGAAGTATTCTGCATTCAAGCTCGAATTCTTAGCTTTAAAGTGGGCAATTACCGACAAGTTCAGATGTTACCAAGCAGGAAAACATTTCAAATGCTATACTGATAACAACCCATTGACACACATTCTAACATCTCCAAAGTTAGACGTAACAGGTCAGCGATGGGCTGCAGCCTTAGGCGAGTTCGACTTCAAAATTCTGTACCGCCCTCTTACAAGCAATGTAGATGCAGATGCTCTAAGTCGATATCCCTATCAAAGGTTGATGATGATGAAGAAGAGAGAATCAAGATGGATACAGATGTGGTTAGAACAATTTGTAGTGCACTAATGACATCACAGCCTTTGATTGACTCTTTACCAGCAATGAATCTGAACTTGGTTGAAATAACAGAAGATCCCTGAACACTTATGGCACAAATTGAGATGAGGGAATACAGGTGAAAACAGATGGAAGATCGAAATATTAGTAGTTTTAGGATAAGGAGAGGTATTTTGTTTAGGGAAATAGGAGCTAATGAGGAAAAGACTGAACGATTGGTAGTTCCTGAATTCTATAGACAAGACATCTTGAAGGGCATGCACACAGACATTGGCCATCCTGGTATGAAAAGAATTACAAGACTCATTCGTCAGCAATTCTTTTGGCCAGGTATGACTTCATGTGTAGAGAACTGGGTTAAACATTTACACAGATGCTTGCAAAGAAAGTAAGCAACTAACATCTGTGCACCTTTAACCAACATCAATACAACATACCCCTTGGAATAAGTATGCTTTGATTTCTTATCATTAGAAATAGCAAAGGGTGGCTACTTAAACATTCTTGTCATCACTACTTATTTTAGCAAATTTGCAGTAGCAGTACCAACAAGAAATCAGACGACCAAGACTACAGCAGAAGCATTCTTTAACAACTTTATTATTAAATATGGTATTCCAACTCGACTTCACTCAGATCAGGGAGCTTATTTTGGAAGCAAATTAATAAAAGAATTATGTCAACTCATGAACATAAAGAAGTCACACACAACAGTTTACCACCCACAAGGAAATTCGGGTCCAGAGCGTTTAACCGAAAATTACTAAGCATGCTGGGGACACTGGAGAATTTGCAGAAACCTGACTGAAAGAAATACATAAATCCATTCATTTAGTCTTCGGTTACGATTGTACCCCACATGAATCTACAGGAATCTCGCTTTGAATTGATGTTCTTAAGGAAACCTACCAATAGATGCTATGTTTGAATTGGATGGAGAAGAACCAGAAGCAAGAAACACTCAGGAATACATTGAAGAGCTTAGAGAAAGAATGAAGAAAAACAGAGAGATAGTACAGTCTTGAGTAGAAAAAGCTAAAGAGAAACAGAAATACTATTATGATAAGAAGAGGAGTTAAACTTGAGAAAGAATATCAAGTTTTAGTCCAGAAATTATCTAGAGGAGAAGGAAAACATAAATTAGCAGACACATTTGAAGAGGAATTGTATACAGTGTTAAGACAACCTATATAAGACATACCAGTATTTAAATCAGAAGGAAACGAAACAGCAAAGGTCAGAAAATTGCACCGCAATCATTTATATCTGGTGGATTACCAGGTGAGGAAAACAGAAGATGGTGAAGTGAAAGATGACAAAGAAGAAATAAGAGTTACGGAAGACAGAAATGAAATGGATGTATTCAAAGAAACGAGAGAAGGTGACGTCACCAGTGAGAGCTCTGACAATGAGTATGCTGTTTTACTTGTCCCACAGACAGTATTACACGGGGACGCCCGTGAGCCAGAGACTCAAAGTCGAATGGAAACGGAAGAGCAGAGCATAGAAGCTCAGCAAACATTGATATTACATAGACCAATATAGATGAAGCTAAAGGTGATACATACAATATAATACAGGTATGGTATGTGAAGAACCCCTTCATATAGACGAAACAGATACAAAAGAAGACACAGAAATAACTACACAAGATACTACAGAAGAACAAGAGAATAATGACAACACAGTAGACGATGTCGTACCAAAAAAAAAAAAAAAAAAAAAAAAAAAACGAGACAACAAACATTACCACAAAGCCAACAAGACGCTCAGAAAGACACCGCAAGGCACCGGAAAAATATGATACGTCATGTTTGGAATTAAAAGACAAGCTTTCGACAAGAAACTTTATGTTTTTTGTGCCATTACATTTTCAGGTGACCTTGATAATGTTGATTAGGATGTTGCAAAGAAAGTAATAGATGTAATTTTGAAGTAGTAGTTTCGCTTCATTTTATGTTAGTTTGTATTGTCATTTGTATTTTATTATTTTTTACCTGATTTTTGCCCAACATTTTCAGGTTCAACGGCGTGGGCGCGTTATTTTGACAGTGGGGAGGAAAAGTAAAGAAATGTTCATTTTGTTATTTTCTTTACAGGTGTGTCTGTATACAGATATTTTTTACAGGTTTATCTGTATTTACATACGTCCCTTATTACCGGTTTGTCTGTATTAGCATATGTGAGTGTATTATGTTACATGCTTAATATGTATTATGTTTATCATAATAAATAAAAGTACTATTGTCAAATAATTGCTTATCATTGAGTTTATCGTAAAGGTTTCTTGTGCGTGATTTGCAATTGCGTCGTTTGAAAATAAAGCTTTAAGGGAATATCGCTTGTTGTATCACACAATCAACGATTTATTTACACAAGATATAAATATAATATCAATTTGTATACAAAACAATAAATGATTAATATACTAAAGGTATAAATGCTTATCAGTTGATAGTATTGTAGAGTAAGAGAAGTTGATGGTATTAAATGTAGCAGCGTCATTATAGTGACGTTGAACTTTGACATTTCATGACATCATCTGTGACATCATAGTACTTGACGACAGACATTACGATAAGACAATGACGGGACTTCATTCTAGAAAGAGGGGAAGCGTGAAACCAGTTTGTGTTTTTGGTCTTTTAGTTTATTTTAAACTTTTCATATTTTATTTTTACAGAATTGTCTATAATCTGCCTTTGATTGTAAATTTGAATGATTAGTCAAGCATTTTTGATTTCCCGCTGTTTTTGAACAAATAATTGTGGTCATGTGACAAAGTGCTCATTCTTGCACAAGTCTTGTTACTGAGCAGTTAAAAGTGTACTAGCTTTCCTAAATTTTACTTCATTAATTTTAAATAGTTTGGTGTTTCTGGAAAATGGTTGGTCTTATTTACTACTATTGATTCATCTTTTTTGAGTCACAAAATTAATGAGCAATGCTTTATTTGTATTAATTCTGTATTTGTGTAAACATGTATATTGGACATGTACATATTAATCAAGATGTCAGCTTATATTTCTAATAATTTAGTAATCGGTACAATCACTACTTACTATCTTATATTATCATCTGTCATTTAACCATTTACAGATAATAGAGCACAGTAAGAATCAGAGAGTGACAGAGGTGTATTATATATAGGAGACCTGATACACAATTGGTATGTAAATATATGTATTGTTTGTGTAATTTCATTTCAGTTTGTCAATATGTTTATTAATTATTTCAAGTAAGGACTAAATATATTTCTAGGCTGGCTGACTTGACCACAGTGTTATATAGTAATATGTTGTATTTGTTTAAATTACAGGGTTTGAAATATATATCTTCATATATGGGCTGGAGCCCATCTGGTCACAATTACTAATAAATTATTTTCTAAAAAAGGGAAAAAAGTTATTGATCTAAGTTTACAAAACTGACTTCTCCCAATGAGATACATACATCTGTAAATTTTCAAGCTGAACCTCCATGACCTTTTCAGATATACCCAGTACAGACATTAAGTATGACTGTTAGATCACCATTTAAGTGTTGACATTTCCTTATGCAACAGATTATGTCACGTATGTCAAACATTAGAGGATGAATTTCACCTATTGTTAAAATGTAAATTGTATAATAAAGAAACGATATATAAATCGATATCACATTATAAACCCAAATATGTATAAAACTGTAAAACTGATTAACTCATATTCAGTACACAATTATAAGAAATTTAGCAATGTTTGTCTTTAAAGCTTTCGAGATTCGAAAATAATATACTTTTCAATTTTAGGGAGAGTAATAAATAAATGTATACCGTAAGACTCAAAAGTTCCTTTCTGAATCTTCATATGTTCACCATACTTATTATAAATCATTTCCCTATTTTCATTCTTTGTTTAGTACCTTTAAGATGTATCATTTTCGCTATTCTTGTTTGCATTATATTTCCCGTATCCTTTTGTTAAAATTGTTTGAATTTTCAATACATGTTACAATTTTATTATAGCAACAAACTAAAGATAAACAAATCTTGATTATTGTTTACATAATAAGTGGCATGGTTATTTCCCTTGTATGCGTCATCCTGGTTTTGCTATTAACCGTCTTCTACAAATACTGAAATGCATATTTGTATAAATCTTGACATAAAATAACTGTCATGCTTTGCAGGTTTGGTAGTAACAATAATGGTCTTGTATACACTTCTTAATATGTTCTATCCATAGGCGAATCTAATAAACCATTTTGCCCGAACAACAACGCAATATCCATATCAACCCACCTTCCTCTGTACAAAGGCTTGCACGATAAAAACATCATGAACCCTTTAATAGATGAAATAGCAATGAGATTTAAACAATTTACGCGCTTGCAACACCATTTTATTCAGAAATTAATCTTCAACACCATTAAAAGACTTTTTAAATTGATAATTATATTTGGTAAGGAAAATAGAAAATGTTGTTGTTTATAAACATTTACTTACTTCGTCCATTAACCGGTTTACTTGCTAGCAATTGTTTTGGTGGTATACCATAAATGTACGATACAAAACGAGAAGTTGCATCTTTAAAGCTGCAAGATAAATCGTCAAATCTCAGAAATTCCAGATTCCTAAGGACACTGTTATCACCTGGCAAAGGAAATGTAAAACACATACGTTTCTGAAAGTATTCTCTAATGTATTCTCGTTGTTTGTTGAATTTTGAAGCTCTGCCTTTTCTCGCAGCTAAACATTCCTCAAGATATTCATTTGTTGATATCGGCTTTCCGTCAATGCACAGCTCTAAAGTGAAATCTCTCATACAAAGAACAAAATCTGGCAGTATTAAACTCAATGCCTTGTTAGCTTCTGATGATTCACCACGAAACCTGATATTCTTTGCCATTTCTGTTACAAATCTTTAGTTCGTTAAGTTAAAATTGTATACATAAATTTATAAAAAAAATGTTGAAAACTATTCATGTTATATATTTTTCCCGATTGACCATCCAAAAACAGTAACATACAACTTTAAAGTTTATTACGCATATTATATATTTTCTATATAGCCTATGCAGTTTTTGAGTGTAGCTATCCACAATGTCATTTCCATCGAGTGTAATGATTACAAAACCCAAACGTTGCGTCTGGGTCCGACCGAGTATTTTCAAAAGAGATAATAATAGGGACAACATCTTTCACAGCCCCTTCACTGCATTGGATACCTGGTGTAACCATTAATAGATAGATAGATAGATAGATAGATAGATAGATAGATAGATAGATAGATAGATAGATAGATAGATAGATAGATAGATAGATAGATAGATAGATAGATAGATAGATAGATAGATAGATAGATAGATAGATAGATAGATAGATAGATAGATAGATAGATAGATAGATAGATAGATAGATAGATAGATAGATAGAAAGATAGATAGATAGATAGATAGATAGATAGATAGATAGATAGATAGATAGATAGATAGATAGATAGATAGATAGATAGATAGATAGATAGATAGATAGATAGATAGATAGATAGATAGATAGATAGATAGATAGATAGATAGATAGATAGATTTCAGTATTCAGTAAATAACGATTATATTTAAAAATCGCAATCATCTATTTTTAATCGATGACATGATTACACTGTAATCATCATGTAATGGATAACCTTGCAAAAAATTGATTACGCTAATTGTAATTATTCAATTAAAGCTTTAATTCAGTCAGTAATTATGATTATAATTTGATTGACATTTATTAATATCAGATTAAACTGGAAACTATTTCAAAGGATGCCTTTATTTCACATGATAAACTTTGTTATACAGTTATACATTGAATATACATTGAATGTAATCTACTATCAATGAATTACTCTCTTAAAGTAATTTGTAATTTAATTGATTACAGATGCAGGTCTTAGTAATCAATTATAATGAATTACGATAAATGTGAAAGTAATTGTAATTAAATAAATTACTGATCAATGTAATCGTCCAAAGGTCTGGTGCATTGTTGCTATTATACATGAATTTCTTTATAAAAGGACGATATTTCAGTCTTTTCTCTTTCTTATATCCGTCTCATATATTATGTAGGATACATGCAATTATAAAGGATACGTGAGTTTAGAGACAGCTTCGTTATCGAAGGCTCCCTTCATATTATAAACAAGGCAGTTGCACAAGAGTGTCGCCAATGTAAATATCTTGTTGTCATGACGTGTGTCGCCCTTTGAATATATTAATTAATTCGTTATTTGGGAAATTACAAAGAACTTCTAATAAAACTAAATTTGACATATTTATAATACACATTAACAGTATATATATATAAAATAGTTTAAACTAAATGACAATTATTTTTTTGTTTCCAAAGACAACTGTCTGTTTTAAGAAACCACAGAGGGCGACAACCAAGATCAGCAGGATTGCCTCCACATCCTTAGTAGAATTAAACAATATGTGTTGAAAATCAAAACCCCATACAATTGATTCTTTTTGTATAATGAGTTTTATTTTTATTTATTCATAACAAAGCATACATACCTTTTCAACATCACCAAGACCCTCGGTATCAAGAAGCAGCAAAACTGTGTCCGACATTTTTGGATGCATTTTACACCATACCCAAATTCCTTTGGTTTTCGATTGAATCCCGCTTCCCATTGCAAAGCCTAAATGATTATATTTAAAAAGTTTAATACAAATGAACTTTCAGTTCTATTATAAACATCAACGATATAAGCTTTATGATAAAAATGCGTTAAATCGTTAAAAGAGGTCTATTTTAAAATTGACATCAAAATACAATCTTATGATATACCTGGATTGTCTATTTATCCTAAACATTATCGGGTAATATTACCTGTTGTTGATTCTGCTAAAAGATTCATCAGGTAAGATTTGCCAGTTCTGTATAGACCTACCACGGCTACAATAACCATTGGCAGATCAATCTGTTTAAGTTGGTTGAGTACTTCCTGTTCCTCCTTGAAATTGATTTTTATCTCTTCACCATATTCATTCTCCACACTTTCGGTACTGATCAAACACATAGGATGTTTGAATACCTCCATATCCTCTGGAGACCATCCGCTGTAAAACAATATATTTCATTTACTTTAATTTTTAATAAAACTATTGACGTTTTTTATGCTACTCGTGAAAATTAAGAAAGCTTCAAAGCCTTTTCAATATGATGGATGGTCAGTGACTTGGTACCGTGTAACGTTATACCAATAAAGATTAACAGAGTAGGGCCGAAGGTAATAATGTTTTGGACGCAACTCATAACTGATCATGTGTCATAATCAGCTAAGGTCAATGTAAAATAAATTTCTTTTTAAAGTGTTTGAATGTTTCTATTTCTGTTGAGGTTGTTTTTAATGTTTCTTTTGCATTGAAACAGTCTGAAATTGAGGTAATTTTTACGATCTCCTGGAATATATCTAAAAGTCTAAAAGAAAATGAGTGTTAAAATAGTGGCTGATTTTTGTCATATAATTTTTACTATCTTATCGGTTTTAATTATTACAAGAGACCTCTTTTACCTTTGCACGAAATTCTTCTTTAAAGCAGAATGCATTCAGATTCATGCTAATTGTCATGAAACATATGAAAATGTATTTTCATGTAAAATATTGTGAGCTGAACAAAACAAGTGATTTATACAATTCAAGCGGCATCTACAATGAACTTAAATTACCAAAACTGGTCAAATATGCAAAAAATAGGTTTTATTGCTTACAGCAGAATTATGGTGATAAATACTGCATCCCCCACCTCCGAAAAACATCATTTAATTGTTGCTCATAGCATGTAAATTTTCACTTCAATCTTTCTTTTTAATTTTTTGAAAGCTTTTTTTTTTCAAATATGATTTTCTTAAATATTTTAGCAAGTCTTGGGACCTTCAAATGCTTCATAAAACCTGAATTTATAACAGTTCATTGCGATTTATCTATTACACATAACGTTAACGTATTTTATGATTATAATATTATACTCACTGACATCCCATTGAAGAATAGCGTTACAATTGATATTCGTTACTACCCCAGTTAAGATAGTTTGTTAATGTTTTATATGATTATACAATTTTCTGAACGAAAATGTTGTCTTTTTCCAAAGTCACATACCCACACAAAATATTGCAAAACCAAAAGAGCAAATACACAAAATAGCGTACGAATAAATCGAATGGAAATCTCTCAACGGAACATTTATTATTTATCATTTATAATGTCCTTTGGTCCTTTACTTCTTTTAATTTACATAATAGAAAAATATGCGGTTTAGTTAGATCTTAGACAGACCTAGCTTATATCAATCATGAAGTAAGTAACAATTAAAATTAAATTGTTATTATCGTATACATTAACGAATAATGTTTTAAAAATAAATATTAAATTAAAACATCAAAAACATAACTTTACTGGCAGGATATTGTTATGAAATTAAAATTTTAACACATAATCTTGTTTCAACTGGATACAGTTTTTATCGTTAATTTTAACGGACGTTTAAGGTATAATCCTAAAGTTGACCTAAATCTGTGTTAGCAAATATATGTAGATGAAATTAATATGAACATTGAAATGCTACATTATCTTAAATTGTACCCGGTTATCGACTCTCTTAAATTATATAATCATTTCAACAGATTTTTTTTACCAAGGGTTCAAAATACTGAATTGTTGTTATTTACTGAAATGAGCATAACGTCTTGAACTTGTCATCAATAACTTATATTTTACTGTCTCTAACATGAAATCTCTATACTCAAAAGTTACTTATGAGCGTGGACATAACTTCAAATTATAATCTATCTATCTGATAACAGCAACATTCATTCGATCTTCGTACGATGTCTTATCAATGACCCCAAAAATTTGTACCAATTTGTTAAGTTATAATGGTTTTGTTCTTTCTGTGATTGTACTTTTATGAATAGTTTTACCTATCTTATTTAGCCATACTTTTTTACATTTTTGAAATGTTCACTGACTGCACTGCGAGTTATTATTAAAGAAACGCCACTGAGGTCCAACATGCAATAGGTGAAAAATGTCACCAATTTGCCATCTAAAATCACTATATTATACATGTATCTAAAATGACAATAATGCACAATATGATTAACCCAATAACAACAATTACGCAAGAAAAAAACTTCAAAATTTACCTGGGTTTTTCTTTAATCTTGTCGGACATGATGAATGCAAAAACGAAAGTTGGGTTTTCCCTAACATGTACAGAAGTTACCCACAATTCATTGGATATGAATGAGATAATTTTTGCGCAACGGAGTAAACAGGCAAACTATTTGTTGAGTTTTTACAATATTCAAACTTAAGGTGATTATATCTATAAATGAGTATTATGAAGAAAGTTTGTATAAAAGATTTTTTTAAATGTCTGAAATAGTGTAAGTTCATTTATAACTAAATTCAAACTAAAAATAAAAAAGATCTGTTAATTGGCTGTAAGAAAGTTTGTTTGAAGTCTATTAAATTTGTTTTAATTTTGATAGTTTGAAGAATTAGAGGCAGACGAACATTAGAAGATATTTTTAGGAACACAATGCATACTTATTAATTACAGCCTCCACTCCACAAAAATTTAGTGCTTTAATTTATCTATTTAAAATATAAAAACAGTTTATCTATGTGACCCCAGTGTCTCCTCCCCTTTTATAATTAAGAATAAAACTTGAGGTATACTGGTTTGTAGATTTAATATGAAATGGACATATATATCAGGATACACAGTACAACATTTCCATTCAACATAATACATTAAGCCCATCAGTCTGTAAATACCTCCGTCACTCATACTGTTATATTACCTGTGTGTACCTTAATTTATACATTATACATTTAGACATATACATGTCACAAAGACCAACAAATTCCGATTATACAAAGAATGACCTTAGGTAACCCTAATCTTCCGAGGGAAACGTTATGGTAACTGTCAAAGGAAGATAATCACACAAAGTTTAGAGTAAAATAAAACAAGGTCGACATAGTAGTCTATGTTGGAAAATAACATTAAATTAAAAATATCACTTGAATACAACTATATAAAAGAAATTCTTACATTTATGACTTTCCATCCTGTAAGAGATTATATATTATGAAAGCTAAAAATGTAGAAGTATGTTTCATTTAATTGTTTGGTTGTAATTACGTCTAACTGACACAGCTGAAGTTATATGGCGACTTTACTGTTTGAGGAAGACCACCGGTGCCCCTCTGTGCATTGTGTCAGGCAAAAGCGGTCACCTGAGTAAAACCACCGCCGAGACGAGATAATTTCAAATTCTTAATTGGAAATCCAGTTTTTTTTAAAGCAACCAGGTTAAAATATCCTTTTGGTAGTAAAATAAAGAAGTTAAAATTATCATCTTTTTCTATATAATAATACAAAAAACATCTAGGTATAGAAGCGCAAAGAACCTTCACGTAAATGACATGTTGTGTTTTTCTCGTTTTGCAAGTTCCTTTAATTTAAAAAAAGGTTATGATGTCAAACATTAACTGAAACCGGATAATTCAAAGTGCCACAAAATGTTCAACCTGTATCACAACTTCAGTACAATCGGTTACCATGTATACGTCCTTCGCTTTTAAATAAGTTCTGTCAAATTGCTGAATAATTTGGATAGTGTGCGGCGGCAAAGCAAGAAGTTGTATTCCTCTTTCGGTCTTTCCCGAGGGAAGTCCACGACAACAAGTGTTTTATGGTGATAATCACCAAAAAAGTATAATTTACTGTCAATTATTCGGAGAAAGACTTGGAGGAGATTTCACAAAAGCTTCTGACCACTTTTGATGAAAGGTTATGTCGACCCCGTTTTTTGTGTGAAACAACTATTGCTTGCAAAATATCTAAAACTATAGATGTGACTAGTATTATATTACATCTTATTTCACCTATTCCTAGGAATTCTAGACGGTGATAAACTCAGACTTGTTCATATTTCATATCCTAGATTAACTTTTGTACAGCGTCCACCGGAAAACATCGAAAACGAAAGTAAAAAGGTGACGTCGAGTTCACCCGAGGTAATTTTTCAACTTATATTTCCATCATAACTTATATACATCATAACTTAATCGATTTTTCCAAACTAAACAATTTTTGGAAGCTGAATAAATCTGGTTTTAGACAAGTAGTTGCTTTTTTCTGCAAATTAAATACTTTTTGTTAATTTGGCGATAAATTGTAGCGTATTTGTTGGCTTTTGCAAACGGTGTTGAAATTTACCACGAAATCAAGCCCAAAACGCATTTTCAGTATCAAAATCAGACTTTAATACAGAATGTAGTCTTCCAACTACTTGCATTTGAGTGGTCACCCATCAACTCGAGCTGCTTTTAGCAAAATATGCGAACAACACTCTTGCCATGTGTACAAAGTGTCGCACGGTTTTGTATGGGGTGTAGATGGAAAACTGTTAGCGAGTGTACCGGGTGTAATAGGTAAACGAATGCTATTTTCTGCAAAAAAAAAAAAAAAAAAAACGGGTAAAAAACGCACTAGCATGCACGTATACTGTTCAGACACTGGAAAATAGCCAAACCTAGATTTTTTGGCGTTTGATATTTTCTTCCAGCAAGGTGTTATTGAGCCTCGGAAATAGGAAAAAAGTCACAAGGGGCAAGATAAGAGGCTCATAAAAGTGAACTCACGTCTCACCCTCAGTGATGATAATTGCAAAAGATCGATTGTTGCATTAAGGAAACTGTTTCAACAATTGTTTGGAGATTCTTACCCGGGCAAAGTTTTACTCTTTTGTAAGTAAAAAAACATCTGATAATTGTATGAGCGGTTCATAAAGAGATTCAAACGCATTTAGCTATTAACATAGTCTTGCATCATTAGAAATCAAATCCTTTACTTTTTCAACTATTGTTGGCAAAATTGCAGTTTTCGGACGGCGTGGATGAGGTGCATCTTTTACTGAATCGACACCACTTTTAAATTTCTTACACCACCGTGTAACAGATGAAAAAGAAAGTTAATTGTTCCCATAAACATGACATATTAAATATGTCTTTCGCCTGTATATCAAGAAAACAGCGTTTTTCTTTGATCAGTGAAAGGAGGTCCTTTCCCAACTATTTAAGCTTAAGTATACACATGTAGATAGCGTTTAGCGAGCACTGTGAAAGCTAGACTGACCTGATTCACATATGTATTGTATCAATTGAGAGCTTACACAACCAACTATGCGATACACATACATAGTTCGTGCAAAACGTGATTAAACGCGAGATAATGGTCTAGTTGCATGCATATTTGAACACACCTCTTACTGTAGTATACAACATTTACGTAACAAAGATATTTAATGCCATCCAAATGGTCCTTTGAAATGACTATTGTTAATATATTAAATTTCAGGCAGGGCAATTACAACACGTGACAAGTTGGAGCAGATGATAGGAAAACAATTCAGTGAATGGTTACCGATTACAACGAATTAACCAGATGGTCTCCCTTTAGAAACTTTGATCCTCTCGTCGTTTGTTTCAAGTATATTGTTTTTATCAAAACTCTGCTAACAGGTATATACGATATACAATACAGACATATAATACAATATTATGATGAGTAGCAGGCTTTGGATTATGTCAAAATGTAAATGTAATTTATTATGTATCAAGTATTTGCATGTACTGTGTAATGCACACTCAGGTGTTTTTTTTTGCATTCCATGTTATTGAAATTTTATGCATTACATTGGTGAAATAAACTGTCTGCATTACTTATTTAGTAGACTGAATTATGGATTACACGTAAACTTACTGTAATGTTCTCTTATGTTTATAAGAATGAATATAACGGGGTTCGCAAAACAAATGCACCAGCAGCATCTACAGACAATCAGATAACTTTTTAATTTATAAAAAATCTTGAGTTTTGCAGTTTACAGTTTTCAATAATATGGAGTGTATCATCAGCATGTACATCATCTGCGTCATAAAATTTCTTTCGATTGACTTGATGTATTACATTTTACATTTTTGTTAACTGTAATGTTTTATTTTGTGCATTTAGATATGAGGTTAAAAGTAACAGAAGTCATTAACAGAAATGACTTGACAAGTATATTATATTCCAATCCCTGTATAAAACATGAGTTTTATCAGTTACTAAATACACTTACTACACTTAAATAAATTCATATTTATTATTTTCATATGAATTTAATACACAAGAAAGGTAGCCAATGGTTAAGATCGACGTCTACAAATCACTTGTCCCTGTACCACTGTGGGTTCGAGTCGCATCAGGTACTTAACAATCTTTTTATGTGAGGAAGCTATCGTCGTCCTTCATCAGCATAGCTGGAGAGTCGAAATATGACCGTTACAGTGTCGGTTTGACAAATAAATAAACAAACAAGTTATGTTACAAAACCAATGTGTATAAGACATAATCACAATCGAATTATATACAATACGCAGTACAATATAAATTTTGCCTACGTTGGTTTTTATTTATTTGGTACATGTATATAGTTATATAACGCAATAAACCAAAAACTTTGAATAAAAAAAGTAACGAAATGAAAATACAAATGTTAAGTCCATAAACAAAATATAGTCGCCTATTATAATTTAAATATTTATTTAAATTACTTTCAAAACAAAATAAAAGAGGTCACAAATTCACTGATAAACGAGTAAATGAGTGACCCTTTTTATCTACGAAATGGTTAGATGCTATTTGATATACCTTATATAATATCCATCTTGAAGCACAAAATTGATACCTGTGAAAACTGAAATGAAAAAAATAATCAATGTTGATCCATGTAAATCAGCACAAAAAAATTCTTGAAACAATAGCGAATATATTGACCATCACCAGATATTAACAAAATATATTGAAATACAATGAATATTCAATACACAAAAAAGCTAATATTTGCATGCAAATAGTACAATCAGTGTCAAAACAATAAACTAAAAATAAAAAATAACAATGGTATATATGATTTTTCTCATGTATAACAATCACTACATAAAGTATTACAAGCAATACAATATTTTACATTCTACATGTAAAAAATAAGTAGATTAAATTGGTGCTTCTAAGACACCATAGTTATCGGTATGCAATTTTATTATATAATATGGTCATATTCAATTTCACGGGAAAAGTGAAGTTAAGTTTTGCATTAAATTTGACCTGTATGTCAAAATGTCATTCATTACGTCGCGGTTAAAATTATTGACCAAATACAATAAAAGAATCGCGATCTTGGACCCGTGACTATACTAGATCAGATTACACCAGGCATGCTCATGTTAATGTGAAAACCAGGGTCTAATAATAACCACTTAAAATATCTGTTCTGTCAGTCTGATAAATATTTAACATAATTACTATGGGAAGTAAAGAACAACAACTGACCACCCTCCTTCAAAAAAAAAAAAGAATAAAAAGGAAACAACAACCCATAAAAAAGAAAAAAGTACAAAACACACAAAAACAACAAAAACAAAGACATAAAGACACAAATTAGCACTTACACTGTCTAGTTTCAAGAAAAAAAACAGGAGAATGACAAAACTGTTCTCTTTTGTAGACAAGCGTTTTTCAAATGGAATACAACCCAAAGAGTCTATGATTAGTTGTTCCAAAAAGCCTTTCACATTCTTGTATACATCCACTGACCTTGTCTTTCTTTGTCTTTTTTTTCAATTACACTTTAAGCTTCTTTTTCAGCATCTTCTATAGCTTTATCTTTTTCTTTTTATCGATCATTTTTTGTGCTTGTTCTGATTTCATTCTTTCAACTTCTTTTAGCTCTGTTTTTTTCATTTTTTCTTCTAATAATTCTTCGTATCTCTGCCTTTCAATTTGTAACTGATCAAGACGGTCTTTTTCAAGTTTGTTGTAATGACTCTCTAGGTCTTTTTTTCTGCTGTTCTAGTGCTTCCTGTTGCGCCTTTTGATGCTCCTTTAACAATTTATCTATGCCCTCCTGGTTTCGTCTTTGCTCGTCTGAAAAAATCACTTGAACTCATATATATCATTGTAAAATGCTAGTTAATTAATAAAAAAAATCTCTTTTAAAAGATAAAGGTATAATAAAAGATTAATAGATCTTTAGAACTTTGGTTTTTCGGGGCTAATCAATATCATATTTACAGAACTTGTTAACAGATCGCTCTACATTTTTACATTTTGTGTTCATAGTTGAAGTGTTAAATGAAATCTTGGATATATTACATCTCAGAACATGGCAATTTGAAACAAGACAACTTATGACATGTAATACAGATTCTGCAGAAAATCTAAACCAAATTAAATCAAATGGTAAATGTGCTGTGTGGCATCAGAATTGGAGAGAAAAGGTTGACTCGAAAAACACATTTTGTCTTATATGTCTATTTCAGCAAAGGTATAAACTGTGGGTATAAATCTGTTGCATTCGAAGGTCATACAATGTTCCTCTGTAGTTAAGTTTATTTTTTCTTATTAAAAGCAAATAAGTTGCGCCATTGGCTACGTGATTGGTCAGCTAGAAAAAATTAGGCCAGTATTCTCCAGAACATGAGGCCAAAAGCCACCGAACCGGAAGTGTGAATGTCCCTTTTTAAGAAGACGCCCTCTGACTAAAGATCACGACAGTAGTCCTATACACGATAGAAGGACAATTATTCAAGATATGATGATCTGCATAGAAAACTTATCAAGCCGATCCGGACGTCACCAGACGTCAAAAACAACTAGTAAATGAAGTACGTGAATGTTTACGTACATGCGGTATTCTTTCATACATATTGATTAGTTCCGAAACACAAAAGTTCTAAGGTTTTGCGAATATCAAATATCAACCTTTCTTCGGAATCATTGTTTCTCTGAATCAAATGCACATATGATATAATGAACAAACAAGAAATAATGTATGTCGCGATTCTAAAAAAATCAAATGGGTGATCTAAATATTTTAAGAAACATGAAATATCACTCGAACACCTATGTTTTGTGTATAAACTAGTAGGAAACGTAATAAATAAGCATTGTTTTTCCGTTCTCATTACTTTATACATGTATATAGCTAAATTTTCTGAATTTCATATCACATAATTTATTATTCATGGAAACGATCTCCCTTGACAGGATTATTTTAATCATCAAATAAACTGTTTAATAGCATTATTCTCATCATCTGCGGTATGTCAGCACCAACATTTCAAAATAATTCCCCGTAAAACCAAGAGTTTTTCATGAAAAATATAATTTTATATTCTATCTTCTTTAGTTCTTCAGGGATTTGCATTAAACTTCAAGTAGTTGTGCCATATCTTTACACAAAACATATACTTACGATAAGGTTCTTAACTACATATATCTTCAATCACCCGCCTTCAACTTAATATTATTAGTAATATTTAAACTCACTCTATATGTCATTTTAACTCTTATAGCATAAAATCGGGTAATTTTCCGTCTTTTGCCCAAGTTTTAACGAGACCAAAGCCATGCGTTAACAGAGTCACGCGCTCTTGTTTTAGCCCTGTACATTGTAACACCGGAATTCGGGGTCAAACGCACTTTGGGGCCCGACTCCAGTGTGCGGTAAACTTCGTAGCGCACTTTGGGGCCAAACGCACTTCGGGGTCAAAATCGAAAAATTGACCCCAAAGTGCGTAAATATGCTACATATCAACGCACTTTGGGTTCCAGATTTCTATAGTTGTCATATGAGTTCTGTTAAAATTCCGAGTACTGACTTATTTTCGATCTGCGACATTGAAATACTTGAGGTGGAGTTCAAGATGTCGTTCGATATCCATATACATCACTATGCAAATTTACTAAGTGCCATATAAGTAGGCATTTGTTAGCGTGGCTTAGTCTACTATGTAGACAATATGGCGGTTTCTTTCGTAATACTCGATGTTTTGTGACAAAAGTGTGGCAGAAAAAAAAACTCGAGTTTCAACAAGCCACAACATTTAATACAATTTCGACATAAAATCTCGCAACTTCGATATTTTATAAACTGACAGTTAAGTTTCTTGCGACTTTAAAAAGAACGCTACCGGCCACCATAAATGTACTTCAATTGTAAATGTACTTCTACAAATAAAAGATGTTAAAAAAATCCTGTTCTGTCAGCCATTTACTTGATAACCTTTGGTGCCATATTTAAAACCATTTAAGATATGATGTGGATGTTATAAAATGCAGATAATTTCATCTATATGCATTTCATTTTCTGTTAAAATGACTTGTTACAGGTAAGATAGAAATAAAATTCATCATAACAAAGTTGAGTCCTTTTCACAATTTTCTATATTCCTAAATATTTGTGCCACATGATATCACTAATGAAAAATCATTAAAACTTTAGAAAAAAGTTTGTAAAACAGTTTATATCTTCTACAATTAAGGGCTACAAAGTTGTTTAACGTTTCTCCTGTTTTTTTTTAAGTAAAAACGTAAAAATTCCTTTGTAATAAGGTTGTATTTATCTCTCCTATTTAGGAGAACCATAGTCCCAAGTACAGCTCTTAATTAGAAGTAAAAAAAGTCATCTTTAGTTTTTTAACAGTTCTAGAAGTAAGTCCTTATTATGCTTTTAAAATCTTTATTACGAGTTTAACAGATTACCAGCGGTTTTGTACGTACCAAACACGTTTTTGCCAACGCACGCTTTTAATTTATTTATTTGACTTATTCTATTTTAAATAGATAAGGTAATGTGATGGACTGCAAGAAAATATATATATTAAAGTTGAGCAGCCAACAATCCTGACACTAGTAAGACTGTACATATTTGCAAGCCTTGTCTTAACCTGGTAAAATTGTAAAATGCACTGATCTGAGATTGAATTTTAATTGTATCTTTCTAGAATAAACTTCTCGTTGTGTTTCATTCTTCTCATGCTGATGTTTTAGGTCGAAATCCGGGTTGCTAAATGAAAAATTGATCCAAATGTGTTTTATCACCAAGGGGCTCTTTGGCAAGTTCGTCAATATATAAATACCAACTGAGACGACTTCAATTTCAACCAATTATTTTATATATCACAGCAAATTCTTTCCTATCTGATAGATAGCTAGTCCCTAGATCACTTACATAACGTTAATATTGATATAAAACCAGCTGCTTAACATAAATTTAAATATTACAACATTTATTAGTAGTGTTGTGACATTTAAGGGTAGGGGAAAATGGTGAGAAATTTAACGTCATCATTGTGACATTAAACGGCAAAATATTTTGAGACATTTTGCGGCGGTTGCGACATTTAGCGGCAATAATGCTACATTTAGCGGCAAGTGCGACATTTAGCGTCTTCGCGACATATAACGGCGTCACAAACTGTAACAGACGCACATTTAATCAATCACCAAAATATTACATTATAGATGCAAGGACCTGAGGTATCCGGAAGTTATACCGGAAATAGGCGTTGTGATACCCTTCAAGGACGAACATTTGAGCGTTCTGCTACGTACCGTATACAGTATTCTTTACAACACACCGACACATATAGTCAAAGAAATTGTCCTAGTGGACGATGGGTCGGAAAACAGTAAGTCTAACAGTTATTATGAAGAATAATTGTTTTGTTCCGTTAGACTCTGAAAAGAGTTTGTTTTAAACATTTTTATCAGTTCGATTGTGAAGAAATATTGCTGCTTATCTGAAGCAATATCGAGTCCTTACATGGTAATGATGTTCCTCATGAAGACGGTATAATAACACATGTGTGTGACGTCGACTGCACAATTTATATGTTCTGTTTTGTAATAAATTGCTCGGGCACATTGCGCGTTCAAACACCGAACTTTGCAACACGATTAAAGAATATTACCTTAATATGATATCACGACATTGATGCATTTTGATTTTTGTTGAGCCTTAGTAATCTCAATATCTAAACTGAAAGATTTTAAATTATTCCTTTTAAATTATTCCACAGGCGAGCTTAAATCTACTCTTGACATATACCTGGAAAATATGGAAAAGATACGAGTCATCAGGCTGCGGAAATCTGTTGGTTTGATGATGGCGCGTCAGGCAGGGATAAACAGTATTGGCGCCGAATATTTCGTGTGTTTAGACTGTCATATGGAAGTTTTACCGGGTAGGATGTTTTTCATAAAATTTATATTTTATATTCTTTGTAAGTTACGATTATACAGTGATATATCAGTGATTGTACAATTTGGGTGAGTAATTTGATAAAATATTTGATTATCATCGATTGCTTCTTTTAAATCTGAATTTTATAGAACCCAATAAGATGTGTTTACATTTGAATGTATGTCTGTTAAATTTATTGATTGATAATACTAACTATAACTATAGATACATATTGTTCATTAGAAAAACACACACAAAGACGTATTGTTTCTTTAAAGCCGCATGCCTCCAAGATCAAGAAAATCAAATTGGAGTAAAAACGTCCTAAGATTTCAAGAAATTCTATGTTAAAAGATTCAAGATTCATTTAATAATTTACATGTTACGTGCGATTAATGACTGGTTTTACAGTATTTTATTCATATTACTATTGCATAACTAACGCATTCAGACGTATTTTTTTGCATATTTTGAACTCTTTTTGGTAATTTTGTGTATTGTAAGTGCCGTTTGTAATGTGTAAATTACAATCTTTGTTCACTTCACAATATTTTCAAAATTTTCATGAAAAATTAGCATTAATCTGGAGGCATGCTGCTTTGATCATATAGTAAAGAGCATTTCATGTAATCTCGAGAAGATTAAAAAATAAAACAACAAAAAACAAGTTTATAATTCTGTATTCTCATTATATTTTGATGTTGATTTTTTATTTTTATAAATAACGGTTAATTGAATCTATTAGCAACAAACTTTACCTTTATGTTACCCAAAAATGTAGGCCAGAAAAAAATGAGAGGCATGATTTTTTTCTCAGGGTGGATAGAACCGTTGCTAAGTCGTCTGCTTGAGGAGCCGAAAGCCCTCCTGTGTTCCAATGTCGGATCCATTGATCGTCGTACATTCAAACTACATCATGCTGAACTTCGACAAATACGATACTTTTTCCCGTTCCTTATATTTAACCTGGATGCCGCCGCCGGAAAATATAAACAATCTTTCGTCGAATCTAGAACCAATGATACAGAGCCATTCCCGTAAGTAATCAATCAATCAATCAATCAATCAATCAATCCATCGATAGATCAACCGATAGATCAATCGATAGATCAATCAATCAATCCCTCCATCCATCCATCCATCCATCAATTAATCAATCAAATTGATCACTCACTCACTCAATCAATCAATCAATCAATCAACAAACCAATTAATCAATCAATGATTTGTATATAGATGTTACAATTTCAGCTCATGATCCAAATATGATATGGGTTTTCTAGTTAAATCACGTCTATTCTTTTGTTGATACACTGGAGAAAAAAGAAGCTTTTGTAAAACTGCAGTTTTCATATTTTGGCCGAATTAAATCTAAGGCCATTATATTTTTTGTATAAATATATAAACAAATTTTCCTTTATCCTTTTTTCTTCTAAATATAGTCCACTTCTTAAAGATTTAAATACAATGTAGTTAAACACAGAATAGATAAAATGGAATCCTTAAAAAGAAAGCTCAATACGACGCAATTGAAAAGTTCTACATGTATATAGGTTCTGTTTGATTGATTTCTTCTGAGTCTTTGGTTTTTCAGGTTTGGGATCATTCAAGGTATGATGGTTGTGATGAGGAAGTCTTGGTTCATGCAGCTGGGCGGGTTCGATCCTGGGATGAAGATATGGGGTAGTGAGCAGATAGAACTGTCCATTAAGGTGTTAAGAAACCTTTTTGGTTATGCAAGACATTTATCATTGTGGCGCGGAAGTTATATTTAATTATATTGTACAGTTAAAGAATAACAGCTTAAGCCCGTGCTAGAGGGAACGGGGTGAGGGGGTGGGGATTTGCATCTACGCAAATATTCAACACCAAATTCACAAAAAGTAAACACTTTCGCATGTACTAAGAAACATTAAGTGTATTCGCAAAATTAAAAAAAAAAATACTGCGCATCTTTGCAAGTTTAAGGCAAATTCGCCGATAATCAACACATTCGTACATGTACATCTAAGAAACATTTAGTACTTTTGCAAATACATAAATAAACTGGCCTTAATATTACTAATTTTTGCAAATATAAGATAAATTCAACAATATTCAACACTTTCCTACATACCAAGCAACTTTGCAAATATTAAGCAGTTTCTGAAACATAGTTACATGTATGTTCTGTTCTTCTCAACAATATACGAGATTTAAAATAAAGTAAAAATAGCGTACATCCTGAATAGTATTAATCTATTTAATTGTTGTTTTTGTTTCAGGTATGGACGTGTGGTGGGCGTGTCGAGATGATCCCATGCTCCTTTGTTGCACACATGTATCGACGCAATGTTTGGAGAATGAGAAACGAAGGCGTGGTTAATATTTTGAGGGTGGCGGACGTATGGCTAGACGACCATAAAAACAAGATTCAAGAATATTATTTCAACAGAAGAAAACAGGTTTCCTCCTTACCGTAACTCTTCATGATATTTAGTTTACATATACATAAATGTATAACTATACATAAAGGTTTACAACAACATATCAACACAATATACACAAAAGTGGGGCCAAAAGTTTTGCAACATTTTCTAGGGGCCTTCCCCTCATGATATTTCATGCTTTGCCTTTCATGGTATACAGTGTAACATTTATTTCCTTAGACGAAATGAAATATCTACAGGTATTATTACATTTAAAGAATACATAATTGCGGAACGTCCTTATTTTGCCTGAGATAACGTACACATGGCACCTTAGATTTTTCTCCACCAACAAAGCTGGAATGTCGCCATATGACCTAGACTGTGTTGGTGCGACTTAAAGTCTAATAACAATAATAATAACAACAACAACAACAACAACAACAACAACAACAACAACAATAATAATAATAATAATTAATAATAATAATAATTATTAGCAACTTCTACATTTTAGGTTAGCAATGAATTAGATTAACAAGACTATATTTTGTTTTCTTTGACAACAGCAGTAAAAGTTGCAAAGCATTTTTACTTATATTAATTTAAGGTACGTTTGGTAAAGTATAAGTATATAGATCTAATATATAGTTTTTAGGATTTTATAATATTTTTTTTCAGTTTGACATTGGTGACGTATCAGATCGGATTAGAATTCGGAAAGAAAATAAATGCAAACCGTTTGAATTTTATCTGGAGAAGATTCGAGAGTTTGCCGATTTCGAGTTTACCGAAATTCGACAGAACGGAGCTGTAAGTGATTAATAAATCTGTCTTTGCATTCTTCCTAGTTGTAATAACACAAACTGCTGTCCTACTGTTGTGCGAATTCGTTAGGCGGATTTGTTACCTCCCTTTGCATGTATTTTGATAGGAAGCTCTTGGAACTTAACAAGACTGCGTCTAATATATAAGGCGGCATTCAAACTCCATTCACTTTAGAAGAAGAAAGAAGTATATATGAAAATTTATTCAATACATAGACATTAACTACAATTTATCTTTAATTGTTAAACAGATCAAATTGGTATTAAAACAGTCATTTAAAGTGCACGTATCAATAATTTAGATAGAGGACAATTGTGAAACGGTTTTTTCTTATGAGGCTTCTGATGGGAAGAAAACATCAATATTTTAAAACTCACCAAGGAAGATAAAGAGATCAAATATATAAGAAGTGACCTGTCATATTAAAAAAAAATGATATGAGCCGCGTCACGACAAAACCAACATAATGCGTTTGCGACCAGCATGGATCCAGACCAGCCTGCGCATCCGCACAGTCTGATCAGGATCCATGCTGTTCGCTTACAAACTCTATTATAAGTAGAGAAACTGATAGCGAACATCATGGATCCTGGTCAGACTGCGCGGATGCGCAGGCTTGTCTGGGTCCATGCTGGTCGCAAACCCACTATGTTGGTTTTGTCGTGACGCGGCTCATATGTATTTAACATTTTCTTTAGAAGAGACATGTACATGAAGACATAGACTATCAAAATATTTATCAGGGGAGACAACTGTTATAAAAATGATAATACTAATATTAAAGCGTAACTGGGGAGACGCCGCAGTGTGAATGTATATTCGTTGACATTAAAGGCCCATTATGCCCATTAAAGACTTACTATGCCATAGAAATTCTTTTTATTTTTATTTCTCAAAAGCTTTTTATTTTTTAGGAACTGTTATATTTTTCTAAAAAGTTTCTCACTGGCCTATTACCCGGCCATCTTTTTCTTCTGTTGTGATTTGCACAATTAGAACAGTTAAAGTGATTTAATATTTTGCATGGAAGTCAAAGTACTTCTTTGTATACATTTTTCTACTTTTATGACAAATAATTTCACATGAAGTACTACTGTCTTTATGTGATACGCAACTAGCATTCTCTAAAATCACAATTTAAACGTAATTCGTGTTTGCCCTTTATAAAGAGGGTAAAATATTTTCGTTTCTGTGGTATATTGTACATTTAAAGCATGCACGTTTTTTTTTATCTAGGGAAACAATTGTCTTTAAGCTTGAGAAGCTTTTGATCGGAGAGACAAACGCTAAATAACCGTTACTTTGATACATTATTTTATACCTGCATTCATAACTATATATAATTCTTGAGAATCTAAATGTTTATCTTTATCATTTGAAATAAATGTTTATCTTTTGAATTGAATATTTTTCATTTGAAATAAATGTTTATCTTTTGAATCAAATGTTCATCTTTTGATTAAATGTTTATCTTTTAAATTAAATGTTTATCTTTTGAATAAAATGTTTATCTTTTGAAATTAATGATCTTAATAATCTTTGATTTAAATGTTTATTTTTTTAATTAAATGTTTATCTTTTGATTTAAATGTTTATATTTTGAATTTTAAATGTTTATCTTTTAAATTAAATGTTTATCTTTTGAGTTAAATATATGATTATCAAATATTTATCTTTTGAATAAAATGTTTAAATGTTTATCTTTTGAATTAAATGTTTATCTTTTGATTAAATGTTTATCTTTTGAATTTCAGATCAAGAATCTTGGAACAGAAATGTGCCTAGATCCTCTACCTTCTAGAAAAGGTCCAATACAATACTGGTGTCATGGTGATGAAATTCAGGTTAAATATATATTAAATATTAAATATAGGTTAAATATTATATATGTAAATGCTTCAATACGAATTATTCTGCATTACAAGTCATAATTATACAAAATTTTGTGATGGCTTCTATAGAATGTTTGTTTCATTTGATATGAAAGAAGTTCCCATATACATGCACCATGCATTTCCTTATTTATATACATGCATTTCCCTTGTTAATATGAGACATGACGGATGCCATGTCTGTAATCGTTCATTGACATTATTTCATTTGTTTAGGCCTACATTTGATGAAATTATAAGATTTTAAAATGAAATAACTAAAAAGGATATCTGTATTAAAATAAGTGTATTAAACTTTAAACGATTATGTCAGGAACAATATCCCTTTTCATAATTCAAGGGAGGCAACTCTTATCATACTTTGCAAATTTCTATCATTTCTCCCTCCCTTTCATTGAAAGAAGATATTGGGCACAGTCTCAAAAAGTGAAGACTAACGGTTTGGACCTCATATAAGTAGTTATTTATTTGTTTGCGATTATGCTTACAGGAAAAATCGCATGTAAATGACGTCATGCGATAAGTTGGCATGTTGAAAACCCAGTGTCTTTAAAGCCGATACAAAGTTGTTTTCCTTTAGTTGTAATCCTGAAAATTTTTGTTTCCACTTAAATTACCGATTGTTTTAAATTTTACCTTACAGTGAAATAAATATTATCTGTTTTAACTTTGCCTCGACCAATTATATTTGCAAACATAAGTATAAGGGAAGCGCGGTGACCTAGTGGTCAAGGTGTCTGCCTCTAAACCAAAGGATCATGGGTGTGAGCCCTACTCGGGTAATGGCCATGATACTTCCAAAGGCACCAGATCTGGTTAGATCCTAGAAGCGAATTACAAAGTTATTGTTGTTTTTACCCAACGCAGAAGGCACATGCGCGAAATGCTACATCCGTTTCTATGAAAATATTGCATTGTAAAAAGGTCTATTAGGTTTATAATTTGCAAGAGCTTAAATAAATGTTTAAACATAAGTATTTTGTGCATTAATTGTAGTACAGTGAATTAACAGAATTAGGCAAGTTACGATTCCAGCAACACTGCATGTTACCACTGGGACCAAACTCCACTACACTGAGATTTTGTACCACTGACATTCATAATGAAACCGAGGCTAAATGGGACTACACCGAGGTAATTTAAAATACATTTAATATGTCAAATACATTATGTTCCTACAATTTCCTCATGCATTTCTTTGGTTGGGTTTTATGTCGTACCAATCCAGAAGAAGTCCTTTCCCGGTTTAAGTGGCGGAGGTTGATCTCGGGCGCCCATCCGTGCATTATCTAAGGCACGAACACGCACCTGAGTAGAACTAGCGACGATCCATAATCTACCTAGATATTTTCCTCACACGAAAGAATCCTTACAAGTCTGTAGTGCAATTGTCAGCAGACCTTTCATTATACTGAAAGTTTTCATTAAAACATTTTGCATTGCTTTTGAAGAAATGTAATTTATCTATGCGTAGTAATTTTTACATTTTGTAATAGTGCAGCATGATACAAACATATCTAGCATCAGCTCGATAGACGTTTGTGGACTGACAATGTTACTGTCATATATGCGCAGGATTTTCCAACCTTGATGCTAAGATCTTCTTTTTCAGACCAACTAATTATATTAATAGATGGTGCGAATTCGGCCCGCGTCTCATTTTAACGCGAGATTGATGATAGTGAAACTTTATTATAGCATGCAACAATTACGTCCATCCAAGAGGTCGTCTGAAATTATTATCGCTTATATTTTGCATTTAAGGCGGGGCAATTAAAGCACGTGGCAAGTGGGCGATGTTTAACGGCAGCAGACGACAAGAAAACAATTCAGCTTTCACCATGTGTAAATGGTAACCGGAAACAAGAGTGGTCCTGGTATGTGATGAAATGAGATTGGTTTTTTTTTGTTACCAGAAGAACTAAATCCATCTTCTATAGGAGTATATTTTGGACTGCGAACAGAACTTTTAAAATATGTATTGAATGGAGGACGTTAAACTGGGCGTTTTTAAATCATAAACTCGTGTGCTTAATTAAGTCAGTAATTGCATATATGTTGTATTATATAAATTCATATGTGTCGCAAAATCATCTCATAAAAGTTTCATTTTGAAGGTTTATAATATTAAGTTAATTTGTATGTATATCAAATAAATACTTGTAATTTCGAATAAGCTATGAAGTGTTATAGTTTTTGAAATATTATTTATATAAATAAATCACTGGATTACCAGCCATTCTTTGCGAATTTCTGTCACAGGAAGTAAATGCTCTTCTTTTGTTAGAGGCTATTCATTAGAGATTAAATTCAAGTTGACCTTGACCTTAATTTGCCCGAGAGTTTTTATCCAATTATTGTTATAACTTTTATCATTTATTTGTAGATTTGATTTATACTTGAAAGAAAGATCACTTATAATAACTTATAATAAGATGGTAAATAATTGAAATACAAGTTAAATGTTGCTGAAGAAAGACTAAAATTTTACCCATTGCTGAATTGACTAATGCATATCTACTAGCCGCCGCGTGCATGCGACGTCTAATAAACTCGGCTTTTAAATGACCTTGACCATCAATGGCAAATATTGAATTTAGCTTAGAGTGATTTGTTATTTATTTACGGATTTGACTTATACCTCAATAAAAGAACCCTTTTAACAAAACCAAGTTGAATTATTTAATTATAACTATTGGGCTTTATTTGACCTTGACCGTGAAGGACAAATTATAGAAATTTGCTTTATTTGTCAGAACATTGGTAGATCTATTTACTTAAAGCTTTGATTAAAATTTGAATAAAGAACACATATTACAAAACCGACATGTTGAATTATTCTCGTATGACTTTGACCTTTAATTGAATTTTATCTCAAGGTCAAATTATTAAAATTTGATTAGATTGGCATAACTTGTTTGCTTCGCTCTAAATCAGGTGTACGATTTTTGGTGCTACTGTTGTGTGCTAAATCTATAAAAAATGTAGGGGGCTCTCTTTTTCTGCTTATATTAATCATTATCAAATATGTTCAAAAATGAAAATCGTAGTTCGACTTTGCTTCTGTTATAATATATAGTATATATGTTCTGAACTCATTAGAACGTACTAGTATTTTGAGGGAGTAAACTGCAAGACTCTACGACCAAATATGACATGATGATTAATTCAAATTTGACCTTGACTTTTGAATGACCTTAACCGTCAATGTCAAATATAAAATTAATACTCTGTTTATATATTTTGTAAAAGAAAATAATGTATTGTAGAAGTATTCTTAACTACAAGATTCTTCCTTAGATGAAGTGAGTTGTAAGGAAAACTCGGACGTAGGCCTCACTAAGCGATGGCTCTTGTGGGTCAGATCCTGCCCCCAACGTGATACGCCATTGTAAACACTCTATCAAAACTATTTAAAGATTTAAACACGAATGACGAATGGAACATCTGTTACAACGATAAAACTGGTTTTCAAACACTTTTTACAGATATGAAAAAAAACCGTATACCACCAAGTCTCAATAAGAGGGCGTATCACGTTGGGGGTAGGATCTGACTCCAAAGCGTCTGTGCTTCAACCGGCACATCATGTTTGTTTGTTTCTTTGATTGGGTTTTACGTCACACCGACATAGTATAAGTCATATGGTGACGTTCCAGCTTTACTGGTGGAGGAAGACGTCAGATGCCCTTCCGTGCATTATTTCAGACATGAACGGGCAAATCAACCGACGTTCTGTAAGCTAGCGAGATAGCTCCCTCACATGAAAAAATTCAAAGTCCCTGTCTCCCTGTCGGGATTCGAACCCATAACGGTGATGGGTTTGAAGTCAACGACCTCAACCACTCGGCCACGTACGTACGCCTCAGCACATCTTGCCTTGCATTACATGGTTTTAAATGCAAGAATACAATAAGAGATAAGAGTTGATATCTGACAATGACGGAAATGCCGCTAAGTTATGTTTATTTACAATGAACAACTACAGTGAGAAATGAAATAAAAGTGTTGTTGTTCAGAGTACATTGTTCTGAAACATGGAATTATGGACAGTATCACATTTGTAAGATACTGCTATAACACTCGAGTAAAGAACAAGTTACTCGAACAAGTATACAACATAAAGCATATGCATACAACATAAAGCAAACAACAAAAAGGTAACAAGTCAAGGTATGATTATATATCCTCCCCTGAATACGAAAAATATGTGTCAAATATGTGTCGAAACAGTTCTGAGAAAATACACAAGTAGGTATCCTAGATATGCAATGCAAATCAAGCTGTCATTTGTAATTCCATAAAGCATCCCACATTCTTGTATGAAACCACTGACATTGTCTTTCCTTTTCCATTTTTCTATACTTTTCAGCTTCCCTTTCCACTAGTTCTTTTTCTGTTTCCAACTGTTTCATTCTTTCTTCTTGTTCCTTTCTGTATCTTTCATTGTCCTTTTGCACAGCATCTTTTTCATGTATTAAGTCGTTGTATATTTTCCTTTCAATTTCCAGCTGCTCATGGAGACGTTTGTCTAGTTTGTTGCAATGGTTCTCTAACATTTGTTTCTGTTTATCTAGTGCTTCCATGTACGAATAATGATGCTCCTTTAGTAATTTAATCATATTTCGGTTGTTTCTCTTTTGCTCGTCTGAAGAAATGTGAAAGTAAGGAAATTATAATAATGTTTTATTTTCAAAAATGTATATTAATGATATATTAATTAATATCTGCTATAAACCGATATCATATATTCGATAGATCGGTCGACATTTCCAGAATCCTTTTAGCGCGAGTCCTTAAAATCTATAGATCTTTTTACATGTTAATTTCATTGTATCTTAGGCAAAATATATTTTGCACAGACTGCAAAAATCCCCGATCGAACACAAGAAAAGTTATAAAAAGAGGGTGTCTCCGCGTGTATTAAGATTCAGTCTAATTTTCATGAAAATTTTGAAAATGAATTTAAAATTGAAATATTGCGATTTGAACAAAGGAAGTAATTACATGTAACACATTGCAAATGGTAGAGGGCAATAATCTGAAATGTTCAAAATGTATATGAGTGCTATAAACGCATGAAGTTTCAAGCTTGTAAATCCTAAACATAAAGCCTTCAAAATTAGCATGAATAATGATAATAATAATAATAATAATAATAATAATAATAACAATAACAAAGGACTATATCTCTTAAATTATGATATGGGAAGAGTTATTGGTTTGGTGCACTGCATTTCTTCTTTATGAGATATTTTCACCTATGCAGTATCAAGTTTACATCTTAAAAACTTTTAAAGTGATGCTCCAGATAAAAATTAAGCATGAAAAATAACTATAAATGTAACAAAGGACAGTGCCTGAAAAATTACGAAAGATAGATATTATTAATTTGCACTGCACTTCTCCTGACTGCAATCAACCGACTATAAAGTTTAAAATTGATTCTCAAATTCTTTTTAAGTCGAGCTCTAAACAAAAATTATAAATGAAAATAACAAAGGACAATTTGGATAGGATTACCATTCTTGTGCACTGTACATACTCCTCCTAAATGAGTTCTAACTATGAAGTTTCAAAGTTTCAAATTGTTTTCTAAAATGCTTTGTAACGCTCCTGCCCTGCCATAAATGTTGAACGAATGGATAGAAGGACGGACGGAGACTCCGCCGCTTATTCGGCAGGAATAAAACAGATCTGTTTTATTCACAGAGTTATCGCAGGAGTTGATATCATGGACAACAATTTGCTTAATATATAAACGAAAAAACTACACGTTTTTTCTTGCAGTTCAGTGTGAAATGACCTAGTTTGTCTTTTTTCACAGCAAATAATTAATTATGTGCAATTTATACATATAATCAACAATGTTTCCTCCAAATTATGCAACGAAATCAAATCGTGAAAACCCTTTAATTGTCTTCAATATGGAAAGGGTTACAGAGTTTATGATGAACCTGGGTAAATGAACACATTTAATGTGTATGTATTTACGAAGAATCAATGATGCAAAAGTGTCTAATAGAATAGTGTAATTCTCCTTTCCCGTTTTTTTAAACATTTTTTACCATCATATCTAGGGGTGTAGCCAGCTTTTTCAACTTTTTTAGGCCCATAAAAGGGGGCCTGGGGGCTAAGCCCCCCGAAGTCAAAAACAATTTCAGATTAAAAAGAGCCAATTGCGCTTTTAAAGTTATTTTCAAGGAAAATTATCAAAACTATAATTTTAAACTATGAATTTGATTAGATGCCAACTTTATTGAGGACGGTAAATTATGCATCAGCCTAAAAAACACCACTTGATTTGACAACACGACTTGAACATATTCCCAATTCCACCCACGCCTGTCTTTATTGTATTTTGGGACTTTTGAAAATGTCAATTTCTTGACCCATTTGTAGGCCTGGGCCAACATAGCCTAATAGTAGCTACGCCACTGATATCTCATGATCTTTGTAAATATGATGATAACTCACATTAAAATTTTGTTTCACATAAAAAAATGAAAATGGCAATAAAGTTTTCCTTTAAACTAAGAACGCATCTTTGTATCATTGATATCAACTAGAAAATCTATGGTCAGAAAATTCCAAGAGCAACGTTCATTTAAAAACGTTCGTTAAAATTTACTGACCTTGAATATCTTCTTCTGTTTTCCGATATATCTCGGCTTTCCTTTGTGCATTTTCTCTTTCAGTTTCCAATTGTTTCTTTGTTTCTTCGAACTCTTTTCTATATCCTTCATTTTCTCTTTGTGCTTCTTCTTTTTTAAGATTTAACTTTTCTTCCAACAAAACTTCATATTGCTTTCTTTCAATTTCTAGATGCTTAAGGAGATCTTTCTGTAAATCCTTTCTGTGTTTATCTAGCGCTTCCATTTGCGTCTTTTGGAGTTCCATTAATAATTTATCCATACTTTCTTTTCTTTGCATTTGCTCCTCTGCGGAAGACAATAAACTAAAGTTATTATACTTTAATGATGAAAAATTATATCAATGATATGTTGGAAATATACAAATTCAACAGAACAAAAAATCTGATCGGTCGACATCGTCTGCGATGGTACAGTCCTTAAGGTCTGTTAATGTCATAATTAAAATTTGTAAAACTCTTCATGCAAGATGCACTTTTAATTATGATATAAAAGAAATTGACTTTATTAACATTTAATAACAAGCTTACAAAGATATTAAGTAATTATTTGAATGATATGAAATAAATTAAGAATTATTGTTACATTTAATCTCAATAATTTTTATGTTGATATGTAGACTATGTACCTTTTCCAACGCTTATATTCCAAACTTTATCCATTTTCATCTGGGAATAACAAATAACATATGATAAAAAAATGTATAAATACGTACATTAAGTTCTTTCTTTGGAGGTTGCAGAATTTAATAACTGAGCGATTAGATAAAGTTAAAAAAAGAAAAGAAATGAATTATGTGCAAGAGGACAACTGGCTAAAAGAACAACGATACAATTAGCATGATTAATATAAGAATGATTCAGTGGAAAGTTCGGGTCATTGAAATCATTCTACATATTTATACAAAGTGTGCATATTCCTTTTCCCAAAAGCTACCAAAAAGAAACTATACTATAAGGTCATTCAGATGATCATACTTCAAACAACAATACACACACACAAAAAAAATTCAAAACGATATTCTTTTTTAAAACTTTGGTTAAAACTGTGGATTTCTTAGTTGTTATTACTGTAGTTTCACCGAAATTGAATTATGAAAAACCATGAACGAATCACGTTAAATACACGGTAAATACTTAAGCAGTCATGGTACGGTTGTCAAGATCACTAGCCAATCCATCTTTCGAAAACACGTTAAGTGCCCCTCTATTCTTTAAATTATTTATTGCATTATGATACCCTTTGCACTGAAAACATTGCTTGATAAAAGTCATACTAGTAATGTAACTTATTTTTTTCTAAATTTTAGTCTTTATTACAAATATTTTTCATTCATCAATTATTGATCAATCACCATAAAAGACAATCTCTATCTTGATATCGATAGTTTGGTTTACGTTCTATTAATGAAGACAGAAGTTTTATTTATCTTAAAATCACAAAACAATTTTTAAGATAGTTTAAAATACGTTCTCAAAATCTCAAATAAATATTATTCACTCTATAATGAATTTAAATATGCGTCTAAATATCGCTGATCACTAACCTGAGCTTGTTTTTCATATTTGCCATTTGTATCATGGACAGCTTTTCTCCGAAAATAGTTTAGCGCTGCTTTTTGTGCGTTTGTGTAAATGCGCCATAAATCATCAGTAGAGACTGATAACTCAACCTTTTTTATTTCATTTACAAACATTTCTACAGCCTCTTTTTCAATTATGGCATTTTCAATTTTTGCTACTCTTTCAAATGCATCATCAACATCTGGAACGCCACCGTGTTTGATTGCTGTAACGTAGCTCTCTACCAAGGTTACAAACACTGAAAAGAGTCATCATTTGTATGATATCTTTATAGATTGTAGATTATTGCACTGTTATAATATTAAATGATCTGTTGAAATATTATATATTACGTCATGTCTGAAAATTGGCCTCCGTGATATTAATCTGCTGCTTTAACTAGACAGGTGATTCATGAGAAATAATCCGCCAGTGGATTGTTATTTTAGTGTTTTAGTTTGCATTTTAAATGTGAAATATGCATGTGTTGATTTATTTGGTAACAAGCAAATTTGTTGAATTGATACCCCCCCCCCCGCATATAAATGACTTTATCAAAGCTTCGTGAGCAATATTTTGACCAAATGATAAAATCTATTGAGTCGAATTATACCAAGAATAAATAATCTTATAACAACTGTGGTTTATTTGGCAAAGCTATTTGTACAACATTCATGCTCTTGGTAAAAATGAAATACAAAAAATGACAACAACAATTACATGTATTATTAATAACAGTATAAGCGCAATGCAGCCTCCAAAGTTATGAAAAAGAAAATTATGTATCTTAGAATCTTTTCTTTTTCATTTCTTACTAAAATTTCTCAAATCGTGAAGTTACAAGTTGGTACATCCAATAATTTTAGATACATATATCTATAATATTACAAGTTGAACCTCCATGACCTTTTCAGATATACCCAGTACAGACATTAAGTATGACTGTCAGCTCACCATTCAAGTGCTGACATTTCCTTAAGCGACAGATTATGTCACGTATGTCAAACATTAGAGGATGAGTTTCACTTATTGTTTGAATGTAAATTTTATAATTCTATTAGGAAACGATATATAAATCGATATTACGTTATAAACCCAAATATGTATAAAACTGTAACTCTCTTTCAGTACAAATATATAAAGAAATTTAGCAGTGTTTATCTATAAAGCTTTCGAGATTCGAAAATAATATACTTTACAATCTTAGTGAGTAATAAATAAATGTATACCGTAAGGCTCAAAAGTTTCTCTATACTTATAGAATCATTTTCCTACTTTCAAACTTTGCTTGGTACCTTTAAGATGTATCATGTTCACTTTTCTTCTTTTTTCTTTTATTCATTTTACTTGTTTTATCCTCTTGTTAAAATTGTATGAATTTTCAATCAATGTAACAATTTCATTATTATGCTGCAAAAACTAATGGTAAAGAAATCTTGATTCTTGTTTACATAATAATTAGCATGTCTATTTCCTTTTTATGCGTCATACTGGTTTGGCATATTGATGACTTTTGGATATAGTAATAACCGTCTTCTACTTTCGTTTTCAATACAAGGAAATTTGTCAAATACTTAAATGCATATTTGTATAAACTTCACATTAAATACCTGTCATGCTTTTGAGTAATAGTAGTAATAAAAATGGTCTTGTATACGCTTCTTAACATGTTCTATCTAATTTGCCCGAACAACAACGCTATATCCTTATCTACCCACCTTCCTCTGTACAAAGGCTCGCACGATGAAAATATCATGAACACTTAAATAGTGCAATAGCAATGAGATTGAAGCATTTTATACGCTTCAAACACCATTTTATGCAGTAATTAATCTTCAACACCATTAATAACACTTTCAAAATTTATAATTACATTTGGTCAGGAAAAATGAAAATGTTATTATTTATAATCATTTACTTACTTCGTCCATTTACTGGTTTACTTGTTAGCAATTTTTTTGGTGGTACGCTGTAAATGTGCGATAAAAATCGGGATGTCACATCTTTAAACTTGGTAGATAAATCGTCAAAGCTCAGAGTTTCCAGATTGTCCATGACATCACTATCACCCGGCACAGGGAATGCAAAACACATACGTTTCTGAAAGTTTTTTCTGATGCATTCTCGTGGTTTGTTGAAGTATTCCGCTTTGCTTTTGTTTTCAGCTAAACATACCTCAAGATAATCATTTGCTGATATCGTCTTCCCATTAATGACCAACTTTAGACTGAAATCTCTCAAACAAAGAACGAAATCTGGCAGTATCAAATTCAATGTTTTGTTATCTTCTGATGATTCACCACGAAACCTGATATTCTTTTCCATTTCTGTTACAAATCTTTAGTTCGTTAAGTTAAAATTGTATACATTTAAAAAGTTGGAAAAGATTTTTCTGTAGAATAACAAATTATTCAAATTTAGACGCCGTTTATATAAATTTTTGTGATTGTCTCAAATATCTGTGTTGTTGTTGTTTCTTTTTTGCAATTAACATACCTTTATAAATTTTATTTTGCTTAACAGGCCTGTTGATATTTAGGTTCTCCGATGTAATGTGTCATAGTTGATGTAAACAAAACTTATATTAATGATGTTATGATAATAAAAAGGCATGTGTCAATATGGATTTAGAGAATATGACTTGTTATAAAGTCATTTTCATATTTACCATCCACAAACAGTAAGATATTACAATAAAGTTTATTACGCATATCATATATTTTCTAAATAGCCTATGCAGCGTTTGAGTGTAGCTATCCATAATGTCATATCCATCGAGTGAACCAAACGTTGCAACTGGGTCCGACTGAGACTGTTCAAAAGAGATGATGAAAGGGGCAACATCTGCATGATTTTCTTTATATTTATTGCAGCCATTTGCAGAGATTTAACTACATCACAGATAAATGACTGTTTTGTTCGTCTTCTCAGATTTAATGTCGATTGATGCAATAGTAAAGGATACGTGAGTTTAGATACAGCTTCGTTATCGAATGCTCCCTTCATATTATAAACAAGGCAGTTGCACAAGAGTGTCGCTAATGTAAATATCTTGTTGTCATGACTTGGGTCGCCCTTCAAATATTACAATTCATTCGTTATTTGGGAAAATTACAAAGAACTTACTGATAAAACTAAATTTGACATATTTATAATACAGATTAACAATATGTATATTTTTTAACGCTTTGATTAGATGATGATCAGATATAAACAATATTGTGCCTGATTAAGCGTCTTCGTATTTTTGCATTTTCGCCTAAAATGTTGTTTCAAAACATTATATACATTTAAGTTCACAAGATAAACTAACACTTAGGATTATCTCAGAGCTTAAAACATCGGCGGTTTCTGGTCAGTTGGTCAAACTGAAGGACAGATATTTATTTGTTTTCAAACAGTCCGTTTTATGAAACCATATAGGGCGAAAACCAAGATATGCAGGAATACCTTCTAACTATGAATAAAACAATATGTTAAGAAAACCAAAACCCCATACATTTGATTCATTTTTGTTTAATGAGCTTCATTCAATTTATTCATAGCAAAACATACATACCTTTTCAACATCACCAAGACCCTCTGTATCAAGAAGCAACAAAACTGTATCCGACATTGTTGGATGCATTTTACACCATACCCAAATACCTTTGGTTTTCGATTCAATCATGTCTCCCAATGCAAAACCTAAATAATTATTTCTTTTTGTAGTTTTAATACATTCATATTACAAAGGATGCATAATGGCAATCGATGATATAAGCTTCCTGACAGAAAATCGCGTAGCGGAATTTCTTTTAAAATCGCTAATTTAAATTCGACACCAAAACATACTCTAATAATATACCTGGTTTGTCTTAAAGTATTACCCTAAACATTATCTGGTAATATTACCTGTTGTTGATTCTGCTAAAAGATTCATCAGGTAAGATTTGCCAGTTCTGTATTGACCTACCACGGCTACAATAACCATTGGCAGATCAATCTCTTTAAGTTGGTTGAGTACTTCCTGCTTCTCCTCCATTTTGATTATTTCTTCACCATGTACATCCTCCACACTTTCGCTACTAATCAAACACATAGGATGTTTGAATATCTCCATATCCTCTAAAGACCTTCCGCTGTAAAACAATATTTACTCTAATTCCTAATAAAACTATTGACGTTTTGTTTATTTATGCTACTCATCACATTTAAAAAAAACTTTAAAGCATTTTCCATATGATGAATGGCCAGTGACGTAGCACCGTATAACATAATACCAATAAAGGTTAACCCACAACATAGTAGGACAGAAGGTAATAATGTTTTCGGTCCCGGGACGCAAATCATAACTGGTCATGTGTCATAATCAGCTAAAGTCAATGTAAAATAAGTTTCTTTTTAAAGTGTTTGAATGTTTCTATTTCTACTAAGGTTGTTTTTAATGTTTCTTTTGCATTGAAACAGTCTCAGATTGAGAAAATTTATACGGTCTCCTGGAATATATCTAAAAGAAGATTAGTGTTAAAATAGTGGCTTAATAGCTTTATATAATTTACGCAAGAATGACTTTGCAATTTTGACTTATACTGGACTAGGGGCATTCGGCCGATTTGGCAAGTTCAACCCCTTGTCTATATATTATATATACAATATATATATATTTTTTTAAAAATTACTTTTTTACACTATCCCAACACTGTGCTGGGTCCCTGTGCTTTTAACTCTAAGAAAAATGTCTGTTTTAATTTGCTGACTGATTTAAACTTTATATTTTCTAGAAAAGTAACCAAAACATTATTTTCTTTCAGTTGATAGTAACTGACAATGTTTACATTTTTACGTTTTTGACTGGAAAACTCATTGTAAATAAACCCCTCCACCTGTAAACCTTAATTGACATACAGAAAAGTTAAACTGTTTTTCAAATGAGCAAATCAATGGGGATTTTAAATTGAGTTACTTGAGGCTAACAAGGAATTTGTCTCACATTTTCCATTTATTTTAAAAGGATTTACACATTTCATTAACTCAATTGTTTTTACCTTATTGCATTTTAGAATCTCGCTGTTTTTTCCCCCAGATATTTTATAGAAACATGATAGCCTTACTGTAGATAAAGGTATAAATTCTGGACATTTCAGTAAAAAATGTGCCTAATTATATGTTGAAAAGGCCATTTATTTAGATTTTCTAAATGTGACATGTTAGAAACTTGACAAGGTGTAGACAACTTTTAGAGCGAAAGGGCGGAGCTATCTGTGATTTAGAGAAATGCCTTGTTTTTGGTTGAAAAAAAAAATGTCGATCATTAAATAGGTTAATGTTTTATAATACATATTAACAAAAATAATTGACCAATTATTTTGTTAATATGTATTATTAAACACTAACCTATACATAATATCATACTCATTGACATCCCATTGAAGAAAAGCGTTACAATTGATAGTCGTTACTATCCCAGTTAAGATAGTTTTGATTATATAATTTTCTGAACGAAAATGTTGTCTTTTTCCAAAGTCAGATACTCACACAAAATATTGCAAAACCAAAAGAATCAAATAGAAATCTCTCAATGGAACATTTATTATTTATCATTTATTATGTCCTTCGGTCCTACACTTCTTTTAATTTGCATAATAGAAAAAATGCGGTTAAGTTATATCTTTTTTAAAATTTTCAAATGATAATAGACAGATCTAGCTTATTTCAATCATGAAGTAAGTAACAATCAAAATTAAATTGTTATTATCGTCTACATTAACGTAAAATGTTTCAAAAATAGATATTAAATTAAAACATCAAACGTAACTTTACTGGCAGGATATTGTTATAACATTTAAATTTTCACACATAATCTTGATTCGACTGGACACATTAAACGTCCGTCAAAAATTAACGATAAAATGTTTCCAGTCGAATTATGTGTGAAAATTTAAATTGTTATCCTAAAGTTGACCTTAACCTGTGTTAGCAAATATATGTAGAGGAAATTAATATGAACATTGAAATGATACATTATCTAATATTGTGTCCGGTTATCGACTCTCTTAGATTATATTATCATTTTAACAGATTGATTTTTACCAAGGGTTCAGCCGCAATGAAATATTTAATTTACATTTTTAGATAATCTTTGTAATGTGATTATCATTTGGTTTGAAAAACAAGTTTCTGATGTTTTAAAATATAAATAAGAAACTATTTATTATCGAATTACATATAATCTGTTAAAGATCTTAACGGTGTACTATAACTTTATAACTTTAAGAATACGGTAGCGTGACTGTTTATATTCAGTGTTATATTTCTTTTACAAAAATAAACAATTATCATAAACAAAAGACTTAATTGACTTAAGCTATAATTGGCGATACAACAAAAGGAACTTTAACTAGTGTACCGTTAATGATCTTAAAGTGGAGACGGTAATTTCGTATAAAGTCGTCTGCAAGCTTGTGTTATTTTTGTCGAACCAACAAAAGTTAATTGAAAAAAAAAATGATTTTGACTCTTAAAATTTCATAAAAAAACTGTATAATGGATAAGTATGTATGAATGTCGTTTATTTCATAATAAAAACATATGCAGATAACTTCTGTAAATATATAAAAGCAAACATTAATTGGAGAAAATCGATCTCAATGAAGTACCTATCAAACTACCAGGTGCTTAATTTATCATTAACGAGCGAAAAAAATTATGTCGGCGCATAACACACAAGAACAGATGGTCATATTTTTATTTTAACCTATCTTTGGCACATTTTCACAGTTTTTCCGTTATGATCTAGGTAAAATTAGGATATTAAAAAAAATATATAAATGAAGGAAGTTAGTTACTGAAATGAGGATAACGTCTATGAACTTTTCATCAATAACTTATATTTTACTGTCTCTAACATGAAATCTCTATACTCAAAAGTAGATATAACTTCAAATTATAATTAAGATCTATCTAATAACAGCAACATTCATTTGATCTTCGTGCGATGTCTAATCAATGACCGCAAAAATGTGTACCAATTTGTTAAGTTATAATGGTAATGTCCTTTCTATGATTGCAATTTTATGATTCTTTTACCTATCTTATTAAAGTAATTGTATACTTTTTTTTACATTTTTTAAATGTTCACTGACTGCACTGCGAGTTATCATTAAAGAAACACACTGAGGTCCAACAATAGGTGAAAAATGTCACCAATTTGCCATCCAAAATCACTATATTATACATGTATCTAGAATGACAATAATGTACAATATTACTAACCCAATAACAACAATTAAGCAATAAAAAATTCAAATTTTACCTGGGTTTTTCTTTAATCTTGTCGGCCATGATGGATGCAATGTTTTCCCTAACATGTACAGAAGTTACCCATAATTCATTGGGTATGAATAAAATACGCAACGGAGATTTTTGCGCAACGGAGTAAACAGGCAAACTATTTGTTGAGTTTTTACAATATTCAATCTTAGGGTGATTTTATCTATAAAACGAAGAAAGTTTGTATAAAAGATAGTTTTTTAAAAAAACATGAAATAGTAAATTCATTTATAACTAAATTCAGACTAAGATTAAAAAGATCTGTTAATTGGCTGTAAGAAAGTTTGTTTTGAAGTCTATTAAATTTGTTTCAATTTTGATAGTTTGAAGAATTAGAGACAGACGAACTTTGTACATAGGATATATTTTAGGGACACAATGCATATTTATTCAATACAGCCTCAACAAAAAAAATCTAGTACTTCAATTTATCCATAAAAAACAAAAAACAAAAAAACAAACAGTTTTACTATGTGACCCCAGTGTTTTCTTCCTTTTTATAATAAAGAAAGAAAAACTTGAGGTATACTGGTTCGTAGATTTAATTTGTAGTGGGCATGTAACAGGATACACAATACAACATTTCCACTCAACATAATACATAAAGCCCATCCGACTCTGTAAATACCTGTATCACTCACACTGTGATATTAGCTGTCTGTACTCTATTTACAATACCAATTCCTCAATGCTGATTAATTATCAAATTCTAAGTAAATAAAAATACATTTGCACAAACAATGGTCTGATTATATAAAGAATGACCTTAAATTACCCTAACCTTCCGAGGGAAACGTTATGGTAACTGTCAAAGGGAGATAATCACACAAGTTAAGAGTTAAATAAAACAAGGTCGACATAGTAGTCTATGTTGGAAAATAACATTAAATTAAAAATATCACTTGAATACAACAATATAAAAGAAATTCTTACATTTATGACTTTCCATCCTGTAAGAGATTATATATTATGAAAGCTAAACATGTAGAAGTATGTGTCATTTGATTGTTTGGTTGTAATTACGTCTAACTGACACAGCTGAAGTTATATGGCGACTTTACTGTTTGAGGAAGACCACCGGTGCATTGCGTCAGGCAAAAGCGGTCACCTGAGTAAAACCACCGTCGAGACGAGAGAATTTCAAATTCTTAATTGGAAATCTAGTTTTTTAAAGCAACCAGGTTAAAATACCCTTTAGGTAGTAAAATAAAAAAGTTAAAATTTTCATACTTTTCTATATAATTATACAAAAACATCTAGGTATAGAAGCGCAAAGAACCTTCCCGTAAATGACGTGTTGTGTTTTTCTGATTTTGTAAGTTTCTTCAATTTAAAAAAGGTTATGATTTCAAACATTAACTGCAACCGGAGAATTCAAAGTGCAACAAAATGTTTAACCTGTATCACAAATTCAGTACAATCGGTAACCATGTATACGTCCGCCGCCTTGAAATAAGTTCTGTCAAATTGCTGAATAATTTGGATAGTGTGCGGCGGCAAAGCAAGAAGTTGTATTCCTCTTTCGGTCTTTCCAGAAGGAAGTCCACGACAACAAGTGTTATATAGTGATAATCACCAAAAAAGTATAATTTACTGTGAATTATTCGGAGAAAGACTTGGAGGAGATTTCACAAAAGCTTCTAACCACTTTTGATGAAAGGTTATGTCTACCTCGTTTTTTGTGTGAAGCAACTATTGCTTGCAAAATATCTGAAACTATAGATGTGACTACTACATCACATCTTATTTCACCTGTTCCTAGGAATGCTTCGATTCCAGCAACACTGTATGTTACCACTAGGACCAGATTCCACTACACTGAGATTTTGTACCACTGATATCCATAATGAAACTGAGGCTAAATGGGACTACACCGAGGTAATATAAAATATATATTATATCTCACATACATTATGTTCCTATATTTTCCTCATGTATTTCTCTGGTTGGGTTTTATGTCTACCAATCCAGAAGAAGTCATATGGCGATTTCCTGGTTTAAGTGGCGGAGGAAGATATCGGGCGCCCATCCGTGCATTAAGGCACGAACGTGAGTAGAACCAGCGACGATCCATAATCTATCACATGAAATAATCCTTAGAAGTCAGTAGTGCAATTGTCAGCAGACCTTTCATTATACTGAAAATTTTCATTGAAACATTTTGCATTGCTTTTGAAGAAATGCAATTTATTTATGCGTAGTAATTTTTACATTTTGTTGTAGTGCGAAAAGATACAAACATATCTAGCATCAGTTCGTTAGACGTTTGTGGACTGACAATGTTACTTTCATATATGCGCAGGATTTTCCTACCTTGATGCGAAGATCTTCTTTTTCAGACCAACCAATTATATTAATAGATCGTGCGAATTCGGCCCGCGTCTCATTTTCATTTTAACGCGAGATTGATGATAGTGAAACTTTATTATAGCATGCAACAATTACGTAAATCTCATCCAATAGGTCCTCTGAAAGGATTATCGCTAATATTTTGCATTTCAGGCGGGGCAATTAAAGCACGTGGCAAGTGGGCGATGTTTAACGGCAGCAGACGACAAGAAAACAATTCAGCTAACACCATGTGTAAATGGTAACCGGAAACAAGAGTGGTCCTGGTATGTGATGAAATGAGATTGTTTTTGGGGACCAGAAGAAATATACCCATGTTTTATATGAGCATATATTGGAGTGAGAGCACAAATTTTGAAATACATGTATGAACAGAGGAGGTTTAACTGGGCGTTTTTGAAGCATAAACTCGTGTGCTTAATTAAGTCAGTAATTACATATATGTTGTATAATATAAATTCATTTGTGTCGCAAAATCATCTCATAAAATTTTCATTTTGAAGGTTTTTAATATTAAGTTACTTTGTATCTATATCAAATAAATACTTGTAATTTCGAATAAGCTATACAGTGTTATAGTTTTTGAGATATTATTTATATAAATAAATCACTGGGTTACCAGCCATTCTTTGCAAATTTCTGTCACAGGAAGTAAATGCTCTTCTTTTTTAGAGGCTATTCATTAGAGATTTAATATAAGTTGACCTTGACCTTAATTTGACCTGGAGTTTTTATCCAATTATTTTTATAACTTTTATCATTCATTTGTAGATTTTATTTGTACTTGCACGAAAGATCACTTATAATAACTTATAATAAGATTTTAAATAATTGAAGTTCAAGTTAAATGTTTATGAAGCAAGACTAAAATTTTACCCATTGCTGAATGGATTAATGCATATCTACTCGCCGCCGCATGCATGCGACGTCTAATAAACTTGGCTTTTAAATGACCTTGACCGTCAATGGCAAATATTGAATTTAGCATAGAGTGTGATAGATTTGTTATTCATTAACGGCTTTGACTTATACTAAGATAAAAGAACCCTTTTGACAAAACACGCAAGTTGAATTATTTAATTATAACTATTGGGCTTCATTTGACCATGACCGTCATGGTCAAATTATTGAAATTTGCTTAATTTGTCATGACATTGGTAGAACTATTTACTTAAAGCTTTAATTCATACTTGGAAAAAGAACACATATTACAAAACCGATGTTGAATTATTCTCATATGACTTTGACCTTTAATTGACCTTTATCTCAAGGTCATCATTGAAATTTGATAAGAGTGTCATAACTTATTTGTTTATGGATTTAATTCATTCTTGGACAAGCCTGTTCAACGCAGACCTCTAACACCGTCGGAATTTCGCTTCAAATCAGGTGTTCGATTTCTGGTGGCCTACTGTTGTGTGCTCAATCTAAGAAAAATGTAGGTTGTTCTCTTTTTCTGATTATATCATAATCAAATATGTTAAAAATGAAAATCGTAGTTCGACTTTGCTTCTGTTATAATATATTGTATGTATGTTCTGAAGTCATTAGAACGTACTAGTATTTTGAGAGAGTAAAGTGCAAAACTCTACGACGAAATATGACATGATGATTAATTCAAATTTGACCTTGACTTTTGAATGACCTTGACCGTCAATGTCAAATATAAAATTTGTTTATATATTTTGTAAAAGAAAATAATGTATTGTAGAAGTATTCTTTACTACAATATTCTTTCTTAGATGAAGTGAGGTGTAAGGAAAAGTAGAAAGTGGCATTCACTAAGAGGTGGCTCTTGTTTCATATACATGTATACTAGTATAATTATGCTTCTACCAGCACATCTTGTTTGTTAATTCGATTGGGTTTTACGTCACATTTACATAGTAGAGGTCATATGGTGACGTTCTAGCTTTACTGGTGGAGGAAAACCTCAGATGCCCTTCCATGCAATATTTCAGACACGAACGGGCACAGCGGTGAGGGGCAAATGGTTTGAAGTCTACGACCTTTATCGCTCGGCCACGGACGTCCCAGCAGATATTGTACTTATATTACATGGTCAAATGCAACATGCAGTTAGAGATAAGAGTGATATCAGACAATGACGGAATGCCATTAAGTTACGTGTATTTACATTGAACAACTACGAGTACAATGAGAAATGAAATAAAAATGTTTCTGTAAGAGTACATTGTTCTGAAACAAGGAATTCTGGACCGGATCACATTTGTTAGATGATACTGCTTTAACACTCCAGCAAAGAACAAGTTCTGGATCAATAAACTCGAACAAGTAAACAACAGAAAGCATACAACATAAAGCATACAAAAAAAAACAAGTCAAGGTATGATTATATAGCCTCCCCCGAATACGAAAACAATATGTCGAAACAGTTCTGAGAAAATACGCATGAAGGTGTCCTAGATATGCAATGCAAATCAAACTGTCATTTGTTATTCCATAAAGCATCCAGCATTCTTGTATGAAACCACTGACATTGTTTTTCCTTTTCTATTTTTCTATACCTTTCAGCTTTCCATTCCACTGGTTCTTTTTCTGTTTCCAACTGTTCCAACTGTCATGTGATATTTATACATATAATTACAATGTTTTCTCCAAATTATGCAACGAAATCAAATCGTGAAAACCCTTTAATTGTCTTCAATATGGAAAGGATTACAGAGTTTATGACGAACCTGGTTAAATTAACACATTACATTTGTCTGTATGTATGAAGAATTTATGATGTTAAATTGTCTGATAAAATAGAGTGAATCCCCTTTCCCACCTGGGGAACTTGTTTTATGTTTTACATTTTTAACTATCCTATCTCATGTACATACAAAATCTTGGAAAAAATGTCGACAACTCACAATATAATTGTGTTCCATTGATAAATATCTACGCAAAATTGATAATGACAATAAGGTGTTCTAAGAACGCATCTTTTTATCATTGATATACACTAGGGTATATATATGATCGGAAATTTCATTCTAAGAGCAACGGTCATTTATGTAAAAATTTACTGACCTTGATTATCTTCTGCTTGTTTTCGTTATATTTCAGATTCCCTTTCTGCTATATGTCTTTCTGTTTCCAATTTTTTTTTTGTTTCTTCTAACTCTATTCTATATCTTTCAATTTCTCTTTGTGATTCTTCTTTTACAAGTTTCATCTTTTCTTCCAACAACATGTCATATTTCTTTCTTTCAATTTCTAGACGTTTAAAAAGATCTTTCTGTTGATCTTTTCTCATTTTATCTAATGCTTCCATTTGCGCCTTCTGGTGTTCCTTTAATAATTTATCGAAGTTTTCTCTGTGCCGCCTTTCTTCATCTGAAAAGAAATCTATTCATTTTAATTACATTTTATTGATTACAAATAATAATATGAAAAATCTTACCATTTTTTATATTTCACACTTAAACAATATATACATAGAGCACAGTTGACATCTTCATATTTATTACGGTCCTTAATTTGTTCGAAACATTATTCGGCTCAAGATACACTTATTAATCTTCATAAAAGGTCTCGTTTTTATTTAAAAATGTTCCTGTTAGTTAATGTCATGATGAAATGCCTCTTTCCTATCAAATTACCGGTAATCAAACATTGGTAAATAAGTAGAAAATGATCCTGAATTAACAAACAAACCTGAAAATGATATTGTTATCATTAACGATATTGATGATAATAAGAATTATCTTTTTCAATATGAAAAGTTTCTTGATTTGACCATGATTATTAAGAAAAGTTTTAGTTTTGCATAATTCAAAGGTCATAATTTTTCTTATCTGGACAACAAAATAAAATTTGTATCTTAAACCATCCTGGCATTTTATTATATTTTTCGTTTACTTACTTAATAAATCAATATCAATATCGAAATTTAAAAAAGTGAATAATTACGTAAAGAAATAAATAATGAAAATCACAAAATCAGTTTCTTCTTAACAAATTATCTACTACCATGCAAATCGTTTATAACAGGAATTTCCAAAGCGCGTCATAATTATATCATTGTCAAACTCTACTGACCTTGCCTTTCTCTTTCTTGTTTCCTACAGAATTCGGCATCTCGTCTTGCATTTTCTCTTTCTGTTTCTAGTTGTTTCTTTCTTTCCCCCAGCTCACTTCTATATCTTTCATTTTCTCTTTGTGCTTCTTCTTTTTTAAGATTTAACTTTTCTTCCAACAACACTTCATATTTCTTTCTTTCAATTTCTAGATTCTTAAGGAGATCTTTCTGTAGATCTTTCCTTTGTTTATCTAGCGCTTCCTTTAACAGTTGATCCATACTTCGCCTTTGCTCATCTGAGGAATAAAATAAACAATAGTTATTACATTGCAATGATATGATATGTTGGAAATATACAAATTTATCAGAACAGGAAATCTGATCGTTCGACATCTTCCATGATGTTTTGGTCCTTAAATTATGTAAAAATCATACTTAAAATGTGTAAAAATAGAGAAAATAAGAATCCCTAAAGAAAGCCCAACACGGCATAATTGAAAATGTTGCAGGCTCGGTTTGATTGAGCCTGTTCATGGACGGTACTGTTAAGTGCAAACTACCGTTCACGCCCCCTAGCACCGGCTTGAGAAGAATTCAACATTTACTATGAACTGGTACAATTTAGAATTTTGAAGAATCCGCAGATGTATTCATATGGCGGTTATCATGGAACCTTCAATGTGACACGCAAGTGCCATTCCATGAAAAGCGGCATATGGTCCCCAAGTAAAAAAATGCGTGTGCCCTAAACGAGAAAACAATGGGCGGAACTAAATAAAATTACATTTTGAAAGGGGATCAGAGGTTATGAAGCCTGCATATCACAGATATGACGTCAAAAGACAAATTTAAAAAGCAGGCCACATATCCTAATGGTGATTATACAGTATTCAAGTGAGGAATAATGGAACCACCCAACAAGAAAAAGCCGAATAGAAAGAACTAAATTACCACAAGCACAACAATAATGTCGTGCTGAACGATCTTTAAGAATAGGAAATATAACATCTCTGATTGAATGTACGGAGCGACTTTTACAGCCTCCACACGGCACACGCTGATGTGGCGATAAAATAGAGAAAATAAGAATCCCTAAAGAAAGCCCAACACGGCATAATTGAAAATGTTGCAGGCTCCACGCTCCATAGCACCGGCTAAAACACATTACTCAAGATACACTTTTAAATATGCTATAAAAGAAATTGAGATTAAAAACATTTAATAACAAGCTTTCCTGGACATCATGTAATTATTATGATTATTATTATTATTACATTTAATCTTAATATTGTTGATAGATATAATAATACTTACCCTTTTCAATGGTTTTATCCCAAACTTTATCCATTTTTACCTGAGAATAAAAAATAACACAATGATAAAAAAAACTATATAGATAGGTTTTCCCCTATTTGATACACATTAGGACATCATACTTATACATAGTATAACGAAGTGTCAGGGAAAATAATTTAGTTCAATATAAACATTCGACATTTCATCATCTTATCTCTTTTTTTTTATTTCAAATCAAAATTCTTGTTTTTAAATCTGATTTATTTGTTATTATTAAAGTTTTATTGAAATAGATTAATGAAAAACAATAAACAAATCACGTATAATACAAGATAAATAATAAGGCAGTCATGGCACGGTTGTCAAGATCACTAGCCAATCCATGTATCCAAACCCCTCCATTCTTTAAAATATTTATTGCATTATGATACCCTTCGGACTTAAGACATTTCTTGATAAAAGTCATACTAGTTAATGTAACTTATTTTTCTGAATTTTAGTCTTAACAACAAATATTTTTTCGTTCAATTTCTATCATCGATCAATCACCATTGTAGATAATATAAATTTATCTTGACATCGGTAGTTTAGTTAACGTTCTATTAATTAATTCTGAAATTTATTTCATCTTAGAATGACAGAACAAGTTTTAAAAAGATTTATAAATACTTTCTCAAAATCTAAAATAAATATTTTCCATTCAATAATGTATATAAATTTTTCGGCTCAATAATGCGGATCTTTAACCTGAACTTTTTTTTCATATTTGCCATTTGTTTCAAGGACAGCATTCCTTCGAAAATAGTCAAGCGTTGTTTGTTGGGCGTTTGTATAAATGCGCCGTAAATTATCAGTAGAGACTGATAACTCAACCTCTTTCATTTCATTTGATAACATATCTACAGCCACTTTTTCAATTGTAGCATTTTCAATGTTTGCTACTCTTTCAAATGCATCATTAACATCTGGAACGACACCGTGTTTGATTGCTGTAACGTAGCTCTCTACCAAGGTTACAAACACTGAAAAGAGTTATCATTTGATATACATGTAAGTTATCTTTATATACTGTAGATTATTGCACTGTTATAAATATTGAAATGATCTGATCCAATCAGACCAAGAATGAACGATCTTATAACAATTGTGGTTTATTTGGCAAAGCTATTTGTAAAACATACATGCTCTTGATAAAAATGAAATACAAACAATTACAACAACAATTAATTGTTTAACAGTATAAGAGAAATGCAGCCTCCAAAATTATGAAAAAAAGAATTATGGATTTTCGAATCTTTTCCATTTCTTACTAAAATTTCTCAAATCGTGAAGTTACAAGTTGATACCTCTAATAATTTGTCAGCTATGCTTCAGAAAAAAATAAATTAGAATAATTACGATGAGCAATAACTAATTAATTGTCATGTAAAAAAAGGTCAAGAGTTATGGATATAAATTTACAATGAGATACATACATCTGTAAAATTTCAAGTTAAACCTCCAAGACCTTTTCAGATATACCCAGTACAGACATTAGGTGTGACTGTCAGATCACCATTTAAGTGCTGACATTTCATTACAGGTTGAATTTCACTTATCGTTTAAATGTAAATTGTATTATTAGTAAACGATATATAAATCGATATTACGTTATAAACCCAAATATGTATAAAACTGCAGAACTAATTAACTCTCATTCACTACAAATTGTAAGAAATTTAGCAATGTTTATCTATAAAGCTTTCGAGATTCGAAAAGAATATACATTACAACCTTGGCGAGTAATAAATAAATGTATACCGTAAGACTCAAAAGCTCTTTTCTGAATTTTCATATGTTCCTCTTTACTTATCGAATCATTTTCCTATTTTCAAACTTTGTTTAGCACCTCTAAGATGTATCATTTTCGTTATTCTCTGTTTTCATTTTATCTCCCTTATCCTCTTGTTAAAATTGTATGAATTTTCAATCCATCTTACAATTTCATCATAGCAAAAAACTAAAGGTATATAAATCTTGATTATTGTTAACATAATAATTGACATAGTTATTTCCCTTGTATGTGTCATACTGGTTTACCGTCTTCTACTTTCGTTTTAGATACAATGAAATTTGTCAAATACTAAAATTCATACCGGTATTTGTATAAATTTTGACGTAAAATAACTGTCATGCTTTGGAGTTTTAGTAGTGACAAAACTGGTCTTGTAATTTAATTTTCGATGAAAGGCATTATGGTGCATTATGTTAATGTAGACATTTGTCGGGGGTTAGTAATACTTAACATTATAAATATTTATATATGATCATATTATATTAATACAAGTAGACATTTATTACCATTGATTTGTAGTATGAACACATACGGAACAAGGTTATAAGTAGAACAATCAAATAACTATACATGTATAAAATTATACAGTAGTGTTTTTGATTTAAATGTAACTGATATCATACATGTAGATCTGATAATATATGTATGCAACAATATGTTGAAAGTCAGTAATTTTATTATTCAATGTCTGTCATTGTATTGTATTGTATTGTCTTGTGTAATTTATTGTATTGTATTGCTCAAGATGTTGTATTTCATTTTGTGTCAGGTCAAGGGATTATTAGCCTAAACCAAACTGTTGTAGTTTATATGTGGATTTTGAAATGAAGAAATCCTCTGCTTCTGAAACATTGCAAAGGGCAATCGCTAAATTATGTTAAAATGAGTTATATACACAATAAACTTCTTAATATGTTCTATCTATCGGCGAATCTAATAAAACCATTTTGCCCGAACAAACGAAATTACGAACAACGCTTTATCCATATCTACTCACCTTCCTCTGTTAAAAGGCTCGCACGATGAAAACATCATGAACACTTTAATATGTAAAATAGCAATGAGATTGAACCATTTTACGCGCTTCAAACACCATTTTATGTAGTAATTAATCTCCAACACCATTTTGAAATTGATTATTTAATTTGCTGGAAAAAAGAAAAAGTTGTTATTTATAAACAATTACTTACTTCGCCCATTTACTGGTTTACTTGTTAACAATTGTTTTGGTGGTATGCTGTAAATGTGCGATAACAATTGGGTAGTCTTATCCTGAAATCTGACAGATAAATCGTCAAATCTCAAATATTCCAGATTTTCAAGGACATCACCATCACCCGGCACAGGGAATGCAAAACATATACGTTTCTGAAAGTATTTTCTGATGCATTCTCGTTGTTTATTGAAGCGTTCCGCTTTGCTTTTGTTCTCAGCCAAACTCCTCTCAAGATACTCATTTTCTGATATCGGCTTCCCGTCAATGACCAGTTTTAGACGGAAATCTCTCAAACAAAGAACGAAATCTGGCAGTATTAAACTCAATGCCATGTTATCTTCTGATGATTCACCACGAAACCTGATATTCTTTGCTACAGATCTTTAGTTCGTTAAGTTTATTTGGTATACACTAAACATATTGAAAAAGATTCTTCTCTAGAGTAACCAATTATTCATATTAAGACGCCGTTTATATTATATGTTATGGTATTTTATCTTGGCAGGTAATATATCCACATATATCACTCCAAAACCAAAATAATAATTTTATTACCCTTCCCCTGCCGATATTAGACGATTTTTTAAAAAAATCATTGTTGTTTCAAACGAAACGTCGAAATAAGATTCCCTTTAAGGTACCCCTTTATCACAACATGACGTCACATATATACATGACGTATTTTTTTCCGTACCTAACGAATGTAAACAAGAGAAAAGGAGTAGTCTATTGAACGCACTTTTTTGTAATTAATATCAAGCTTTCACAAGGTCATATTTGTTTTAAATACTGATGAGAATATGTATCATTACTTTACTTTGGTGAATATTTATCATTTAACAGTTAAAAAGTGCTTGTAAATCGGAATTTACACCGCGTAAAATCGAACCGTACGCGCATCACCTCAGCGCATGTTGTTTACAACGTGGGGTACCCAACGGGGAAATTTAGTGTGTATATTACCCGTCTGGCTCGGTAATATCAATTTCTTTCGGGTGATCAAAAAGGCGGAAAAAATCTGGAAGGGTAATAGATATTTTTATGATTGTCTCAAATATCAAAATTTTTATGTTGTTGTATTTTTCTTTTTTTTGCAATTAACAGTACCTTTATAACTTATATTTTAATTAACAGGCCTGTTGATTAATATGTTCTCCGATGTTATGTGTCATAATTGATGTAAACAAAACTTTTACTAATGATTTTATGATAATAAAAAGGCATGTCCTCAATATGGATTTAGAGGATATGACTTTTATATTGACCATCCACAAACTGTAAAATATTACTATAAAGTTATTACACATGTTACATAGTTTCTACATAGCCTTATGCAGCGTTTGAGTGTATCTATCCATAATGTCATATCCATCGAGTGAACCGATTACATAATCCAAAAGTTGCCACTGGGTCCGACTGTGCCTGTTCAAAAGAGATGGTGAAAGGGGCAACATCTGCATGATTTTCTTTATATTTATTGCAGCCATTTGCAGAGATTTAACTACATTATGAGTACAGATAAATGACTGTTTTATCCGTCTTCTTAATCATCTTAAAATCACAAATTCAATTCATCTTTAATGTGGATTGATACAATAATAAAGGATACGTGAGTTTAGAGACAGCGTCGTTATCGAATGCTCCCTTCATATTATAAACAAGGCAGTTGCACAAGAGTGTCGCTAATGTGAATATGTTGTTGTCATGACTTGCGTCGCCCTGTCAATATTACAATTAAATCGTTATGTGGGAAAATTACAAAGATTTACTGATAAATTTAAATTTGACGTATTTAATATACAGATTAATAGTATGCATATTTATAAACGCTTTGATTAGATAAACAATATTGTGCCTGATTAAGCGTCTTTGTATTTTTGCATTTTCGCCTAAAATGTTGTTTAAAAACATTATATACATTTAAGTTCACAAGATAAACCAACACTTAGGATTATCTCAGAGCTTAAACATCGGCGGTTTCTGGTCAGTTGGTCAAACTGAATGACAGATATTTATTTGTTTTCAAACTCTCCGTTTTATGAAACCACAGAGGGCAACAATCAAGATATGCAGGAATATCCTACCCTCTAAGTATGAAAAAAACAACAACAATATGTTAAAAAAAACCCCATACATTTGATTCATTTTGTTTAATGAGTTTTATTCATTTTATTCATAGCAAAGCATACATACCTTTTCAACATCACCAAGACCCTCTGTATCAAGAAGCAACAAGACTTTATCCGACATTGTTGGATGCATTTTACACCACACCCAAATACCTTTGGTTGTCGATGCAATCGTCTTTCCCAATTCAAAACCTAAATGATTATTTCGTTTTATAATTTTAATACATTCATTTTACAAAGGCATTCGATGATATAAGCTTCTTGACAGAAAATCGCGTAGCGGAATTTCTTTTTAAAATCGCTGAGAGAGATTTATTTTAAAATCGACACCAAAACACACTCTAAAATATATCTGAATGGTTTTAAAGTATTACCCTCAATCAGTATCGGTTTACCTGTTGTTGATTCTGCTAAAAGATTCATCAGGTAAGATTTGCCAGTTCTGTAAAGACCTACCACGGCTACAATAACCATTGGCAGATCAATCTGTTTAAGTTGGTTGAGTACTTTTTGTTCCTCCTTTAAATTGACTTTTATTATTTCACCTTTAGCATTCTTTACACTTTCGGTACTGATCAAACACATAGGATGTTTGAATACCTCCATATCCGCTGGAGACCATTCGCTGTAAAACAATTTATATTACTTCTTTAATTTCTAATAAAACTATTGACGTTTTATCTATTTATGCTACTCAATAAATTAAAGAAAGCTTCAAAGCCGGGTATTTTATCACTTTTAACTAACGAGGATAATAAATCTAATAAATGGAAAGAAATGATTGTAAGATTCATTTTCACATAATTCGAATAAATCTTTAAACATACCTATCGTTTCATGTAAATCATCAGTGACATAAAACAGCTTGAAAATCTAAACTTGTAACGTAAGTGTTTGTGTCACATTTTCTAAAAAGAGAGAATGTTGTTATCATGAGTGTTAACAACTTTTGATTCGATTGGACGAGGGAAATATATTACATATTGAACTGACAACAACTTGAGAAAGACTTGGAATTCCACCTTTGATATTTATTGGCGACGCCGGTGAGCGGCGTCGTCTCTTATGGAATGCTTTTTATTTTTGCCTATGGAAGGAGCTGTTATTATATTTGACCTGGCGTTTAACTTAATTGTTAACGTATTCTGTTGATATAAAATTTGAGTAATACGTATAAAGAAGATAGACTCAAACCAGTTTTCATACGTCATATATGACTTTATGCGTTCAAGTTATTTTATGTAAAAAATAACCCTTCATTTATGATAAATGAAAGTGTATATATGTGAATATGTGTCGACGTAGCCCAGTTGGCAGTTATTTGTATTACATGTGGTGTAATAGACAGACACAACAAATGCAAATTTGAAATATTTAAGATATTCATTAAACAATATATAAACACAATATAATAATATTACACAACTTTAACATGTAAATAATGTTTTGAAATGAATTCAACTAATATCTATATTTATTTTAAAACGCTATTAAGATTGAAATTACCACAAGTTAATCTGCTAGAGTGAAATTCGTATTAGCGTTATTGGTCTCAATTGACACATTATTGTGTGTAAAGTTGTTTAAGGTAAAGAAACTTTTAAAAATAGAGACTTATTTTAAAAATCCCCTTTTAGGAATGGCCTCAGTCTGTCAGTCCGTCTGTCAGTCGGTCCGCTCTCCAGGGACAGTAATAATGTGACTAGAGGAACAATAGATAACTATTCTTTCTCTTTGATGCCATTCATTCCGTAATGCTTTTATTTGGCTATTTTCTTTTGTGTGTCTAAAGAAACAATACAGAGAACAAAAGAGTAGCCACATTATTACTGTCCCGTTTAAATATCTGTCCGTCTGTCCGTCCGTAACACTTTCGTGTTCCCTCCATAACTTTTAATCTGCTGATTTTTTTAAATAACTTGGCTAAATCGATTACCATAATAAAACGATATGCAGACGCAATAATTGGGTTGCTACCCCCAAGATCAAGGTCACATTTAAAGGTCAAATGTAAAAAAGTCTTAATTTCATAATATGTCTACATTTACTGTCCGCTCCATAACTTTTAAACAACTGATTTTTTAAAACATTACTTGGCACAACTGATAACCATTATGAGATGACGTGCAGAGTGCACTAATTAGGTTGCTACCCAAAAAGTCAAGGTCACAATTTTAGGTCAAATGTTAAGAACTCTACATTTCGTGTCCGCTCCATAACTTTTTAACCGCTGATTTAAAAAAATAAATAACTTGACACAATTGATCAACATTATAAGAACATGTGCAAAAGGCAATGATTGGGTTGCTACCTTCAAGGTCAAGGTGTATGTCCCCTCAATCAGATTTAAACCTCTGAATTATTTTTAATATCTTGGCACAAGTGATTACCATTATGAGAAAATGTGCAGAACGCAACAATTGAATTGCTACCCCCAAGGTCAAGTTCCTACTTACAGGTCAAATGTTAGAAAGTCTACATATCATGTCTGTCCATAACATTTAAACCGCTGCAATGTTATTATGATAACTTGGCAGAAAATATCAACATTATGACACCATTTTCAGGGCACAATAATCAAGTCACAAACCTGAAGGTCAGTGTCACATTCATTTATTATTATCAAAGCTATAGCCAGTTATAGCAAAAAGTCAACTTGAAATGCTTCCATAGGACAACCCTAACAAAACTGAACAATTCCACACACAAAACCCACAAAACCCCAGATGCAAAGCTTCACATGTTGATCAACATTCCTGTACAATTTGCTAATTATAGCTCAAGCACTTTTAGAGGAACACATGACACAACATTTTGAAACGGAATTTACTATGTCAAGGGCAAATGCTCTAAAAATCCTGAATAAATAAACAATCAAACCTCCAAGTGCAAAACTTCACATATTGACAAACAGTTTTGAGCAATTTCATGACTCTAGGTCAAATCCTTTTCTGGCTAAACGCGGAACAAATTAAAAACCGCAAATTGTAAAGTCAAAAGCAATTACTATACAAATAATAAATAAATCCACAAGCTAAACCACAGGTACACAACTATACAGGCTTACCAATATTTCTGAAATGTTTTATAACTATAGGTCAAAAGTTTATCGCCTACACGCGACAAAATTTTAAAATTATAAAATTGCATATTTTAACTAAGTCAAGGTTTATACTCTACAAATACTTAACTTCAATGTCAAGGTCTTTTATTTCTGGTTAAGTTGAAGGTCTATCTCAATAGAGTGTTGTGTTCAGAGCTGCATTAGTACTAAAGGTGTTATACTTAAGTACCAGCACAAGTACTTGCCAAATTATTCAGTACCATTACCAGTACAAGTACTAGATTTTAGCTTGGTACTTCAGTACCAGTACTTTATTTTAGGAAGTAATTAGGTAACAGTACCAGTACTTTTATATATTAATCATAGTTTGAGTCAAACAAAAATAACTTGTTATGTATAATGACACATTTTTGTTATTTTAACTACCTTATTATTTTTAAAAAATGCAAAAAAAACATTCATCTAGAAAAAAATAAAGTTGTTATTTACTTTAAAGTTGACATTACATTTTTACAACTTTTAATGATTTAACATACTTTACACAAAATAAAATATTCATGTCAGTAACCAATCAACTGTATTACAATACAATCATCTTTCATTTAAATCACAAAAGTTTTTTGTTTCCTTTCACACCTTAACACCTCTGTAAATAACAACTTTTTATGGAGCTAACAATATTTCCTGATTTTTTTTTATGCTAACAATATCACTTGAAATAGGTTATTTAGAATAGAGAAGAAGAAGAGATTGTCAAGTGTTTCATTGTACTTGACTGAAACTCAAAATCAGTTCAATAAATATATATGACTTATTTTTAGACTACTACTATAAATGTAAGCAACCATAAAATATTTGCAAATAAATCATTAAATGATGAATCCCTTTTGATAACTGTTTGCTTTTAACATTTACGAATGAAGGATAAAAACCACACACGTAAAAAACCCACACCTCAAAATTTTATAACTTGGGCATTTATAGAGTTGACTAAACCCCACACTTTCAATTTTATGGAGTGGACATAACTCCACACTTTTTGATACTATGTATTGACCTTTGACCGGCAATAGAATAAGTGACATTATTTACACTTTGAATAATTTATGTTAATTAAGATTAATGAATGTTTATGTTAATTAAGATTAATGAATGTTTACCCTTTTATTTTTATGTTACAGTTTGGAATCTTTGAATGCTAACCCTTTGATTTTTATCTAACACTCTATAAAATATAAGTGTGTGGTATAAATTTTTGAGGTTAGGAGTTTTTACTTCCTGGGTTTTGTCCGTCATGCAAAAAATATATAATCATTTCTGAATAATGATTAGCTATGTAATTTCTTGTTTTCTATAGTTATATGTTAATTTATGAGTAGATTTGAAAACTTAATTTTTCTCAAAATAAAAAAATATATGGGATTTACAGCTTCACTTTTTTTTTAGAAAACCTGAGGACATTTTTATCAAACCAAAGTACTGCCTTGTAATGCAGCTCTGGTTGTAATTAAGTTGAAAGACAATCCATTCAAAAATAACAAAGTTATAACCAGTAATAGCAAATTCAGCATATATTAAGAAAAATTTAGATATATGACCTTAAAGGTCAAGGTTATTTGTCAATTAAGATTCAGTTTTGTCCGGTCTTCTTTAAGGTCTTGTTTTAAGGGTTGTTGCCGCAATGTATAAATAAAGATACACCAGAATTAAAAAAGTTATGAAAAACGTTAAGGTTTTGTTAAGGTTAAGGCAGCGGGAACGCCCTGATGACTGTAATGATACCTCTATTTTTCTCCGAAAAGGCGAGCTAAAATTATACGCTTCACACCTCGGGAGTGCCTTCCCAGAAAAACTATAGTTTCCTGAATTTCTAAAAAAACTCGTAGTATTATAAAAACATATTATCACGATTTGACATTTGTATAAACATGTAGGGAAAAATAAACTTGTTGTAAAAATAAATCAACAAGTAAAACTGTATGATTATTCTGACAGCCCCCAACTCAAGAAAACCCTCCACAGTTATTAAAAATATGTCTACAATATTTATGTTTAGGTATCGAGCCTACTTAATCTTAATCGTAATCTGCATACACGTTTTCTTTCCCTTCACAACTTCATTGGTAAACGTATAATTCTGTAGAAACAATGCCACTTTCACTTTACACTTCTATGTACATGTAAAAGGAGTATGGTCCATGTGCAACTGAAATTCATTTCCATACAAATATTTGTGATTTTTTTATTCCAAAATTGTTGATCTGAACAATACTTGCTTTAAAGGCCTTTTCATGTTCTAGTTTCCATATAATTTTATTTGGGTGTCCTTTCTTCGTAAGAGTTGTCAATGGTGCCAAGGAGGCTATGTTTTTTAGTAATATCCAGCTTAACCACAAAATGATCTTGCTTCTTTGATTCTGGTCGTGTGGCGTATCTATTTTTATTCAATTTGTCATCTTCCATTTACATTGGACCGTTGCCAACAATATGACTGATAAGTGGTATACATTCAAATTCAATCATATATTAAGAAGGTTCAACTGTAATCTTGCTTCTCGTAT